ATAACAATAAAGATAACAGTAAAAAATAAATAACAGTAACAAGCGGAGGTCAGTCAAACCTCCCCGCCCGAGGACAGGGGGGCAAGAACTGTTAGCGGTGAAAGACTCACCGGTGCGTCGGCGCTGTACAGCGCGAGCAGGACAGCGGAGGCGCGAGAGCGAGAAAGCACTACCGTACAAGGACGAGAGCGCGGACTACCTGGATGCGACCGCTCGAGAGCGATGCCACAGGCGGAATGTGCTGAATCGAACGGCGTCTGCGTATGATGTTTTATAGTATTTTTAAAATAATTATATAAAATAATTGACAAAATAAAACGAGCTAAATTTTTTTTTTGGATATTTAAAATTACATGTATTTTGATAAAATAATTAAAATAGGTATGTTTATAACCAAATACATGTAAAAAATTACATTGAAATAGACAGTTTTGGAGATTTTATAATATTATTTAATAATATTAAATCGAAATATTTTCGTAATTTAGGTTTTGCTATACAATAAAAGACTATATATTCCATAATAATGCTTAAAATACAGTATTTAAGCTTATAATAATGGTTGTATTCAACCTGAAAGATAACTCTGATGCATATTTTCGTAAAACGCTGTGAAGGGATTGTCTTGGCCCTAAAAAACCGTCATTAAAAGCTATGATTTTGCATTGCTATGTACTAAATAAAGACTTCATCTTTCTAAAGCCCTAATTTTCAGTAAATAATCTCCTCACGTCGTTACGATATCGCCTTCGGAAAACCATAAAACATGAATTTTTTGACGCGAAACGCATATTATGCCCTCTTAAATTTAATTAGGAATTATAAATTGCTTTATAAAGTAATGATTTCTTATATTTACGCGAACACTACACATTGAAATAATACTAATTTTTACGGAACTTATCGCGTATATTTAACTTTTTTACCCGACGTTTCGAGAGCTTTACAGCACCCATAGTCACGGGAAGGACTGAGATGTTCAACGTCCAGCTGTCATAGTTAACCGCGGTTACCATAGATTAAAATTTAACTTTTGGTCCGATCTACACAGTATGAACCTATGGTATCATGGAGTCTTGCAGTTGTATGCTTGGGTTGGGATTTAATTTTATTTATTATAGGATCCCAAGCAGATGGTAGCACCCAGCCATCTTCTCTATTGAAATTAGGATGTTTTTTGATTTCAATAGCCTCGCGAATCATCCTTGGAAGGAATCGGTGTTCTTTAGCGAGGATTTGTGGTCTATCAAATCTGATGTAGTGACGGGGGCGATCCTGTACATGTTCACAGACTGCAGACTTCCCGGAGCGTCGATTCTTCACATCAGCTATATGTTCTTTGACGCGGGTTTTAATTGATCTTTTAGTTTGTCCTATGTAGGAGAGACCACATTCACAATCAAGCTTGTACACTCCTGCATGCAAAAAAGTTAAATATACGCGATAAATTCCGTAAAAATTAGTATTATTTCAATGCTTTATAAAGTTTTTAATAACTGGTTTATAAAATGTGCATTGTTTGTGTCAGACCTCGTGGTATTATATAAAAAAAAGAATAGTTATTTATATCAAATTCTTAAATTGACAAATACTTAAATTGTTTTCAATAAATTTTGAACCGTATACTTTGAAGTTTTGAAGAAAAATGTAATAAATAAACACCGTTTATTTCAGGAAATACACATCGACCTTTCTAAGTAGCATAGTTATTGAAATTGTCAAAAATCTTTACAAAAAGGACAGGCACACTAAAAAGGCTTAAATAAAATAAATAATTTAAAAAATCAAAAACCCAACTGCAAGAAAGACAATTTAAAAGTAATGCACTAAAAAGGTCAAAACAAGATTGAGAATACAAAACAAAATTAAAATAAACTTTAAACAAAGTAAACTTTACTTCGGTTTAACAGACTATATAAGCTGAAAACCTAAGTAAAAAAGCCTAGGTAAAATATTAAGTTTAGTAGCAGGCGGGGCCCATTGCAAATTACAAACCGAAAAATAATGGATTTTGTATTCTCAATCTTGTTTCGACCTTTTTAGTGCATTACTTTTAAATTGTTTTTTTGATTTTTTAATTATTTATATTATTATTTTATACCCTCATCTCCGACCGGGCGTTTTAAAATCGTAGAAAAGAAAAACGCGGGTCCCCGTTACAGCTTAATACAAAAGACAGTTCAATCGGACTTTATGTATCTACCATTTACACTGTGAAAATGTCTTATATGAAAACAACAATAACTGAAAGCAAATAATCGCATTCGCCTGCAATACTATTCAAGAGCCGTGGTAGCTCAGATGGTTAGCGCTCGCTGTAAATTTCACAATACGCGAGCAAACCGGGTTCGATCCCCGCCGGTACCAATGAAATTGTTAATTGCAACTTTAAGTACTGATTTACCACGTGCTCGCCGGTGAAGGAAACATCGTGAGGAAACCTGCATGTCTGAGAAATAAGAAAAAAAATATTTCGAAGACATGTGAAGTTCGCCAAAACGCACTGGGGCCGCTCGGCGGACATTTCCTTGCCCTAAAACGCTCTCAGAAATGAGAGGAGGCCTGTATATAGGCTGTAACTTTACTTTTTTTACTTTTTTACTATTCAAGAACTGGAATTTACGCTATACATGAGGTTGATATACTTTGAATGCTAGTATTGTACAGAAGTTTTGGTAAGTAATATTTGTAACATCAAATTATTTAAACTACTAACCTTTCTACCAGACAGAACTGTTATCAAGGTTTAACGTACTTGCGTCAAACAAATTTTTCATTTAATGTTGGACTTTGTTCATAGTTTTGGGTTTCATTGTGTGCTGTTTACACCAGTAATACATTCAACTTGCCCTTACAGAACAAGAATGGCACATTGGGTGTGCATGTTAATTATTGCTTTAACTTAATAGTCAGTAGTTTGTCTCTAGACACACACACACACACACACACACACATGCACGCACGCACGCACGCACACGCACACACACACCCACACACAGAGAAAAAAGGGAGAGAGAAAAAGAGAGAGAGAGAGAGAGAGAAAAGAGAGAGAAAGAGAGATAAAAAGAGAGACACGCGCGCACTCGCTCACGCACTTACACTCGCACAACTTATGTCTAATGTCGCCTCTACACGTTGGCCAACACAGTGGCGAACGGAGTGGCGAATATATTGGCCGAGAGTTGGTGATGGCGTCCACACGTTGGAAGCTCGTTCAGTTTACTTCGGTTCGGGCCAATGTGCGGACGAATTTATAAGCACCGTGGCGCAGTGGCTCAGCAATGAGTGGCTGCGCCGGGCGCCGCGGGTTTGATCCCGCACGGAACAAGTATTTGTATGTCCTACAAATAATTGTTTCGGGTCTGGATGTGTGTCCTTGTGCAATTTATGTTTGTAAGCTGCCTGCGCGATACGGGAGAAAATCCTAGTGTGGGGTTAACGTTTTTATAAAATAATAGTGTATATTAATGGGGTTGTAAATAGATATACGATATACGATTAGCTTTATTTATTCTTTACATGCATCATAAACTGGAATAAATACCATTAATAAGAACTTAACTTATTTTAAAGTTAAAGGAGTTATAATCGATTAGTCTATGTTTTAAAATTGGGTTTTGATTTTAAAGTTTAGCAAAATATGTACTTGCATTTCTATCAGACATTTGATGTATATAAAAACACCTTATAATTTATTTGGTAATTTAATTATTTTTTGAGAAAGACAAAAACAATAGCAATAAATATAATTAACACTGACTTAATAATAGCTACTAATTATAACTTAGAACATAAATGAAAAACTCATGACGAGCAAAGTGGTTCAGGACCATGCTTTGCGGCAGTCTGTGGAGGAGGATGTTCAGTAGTGGACTTGTGAAGAGCTGTAATGATGATGATTCGAAAACTTGCACGATTCAATTTTAAGAAATCGACGCTTTTTTATATAGGATAGGGTGGCAAACGAGCACACAGTTCACCTGATGGTAAGTGGATGCTGTGGCCCACAGACATCTACATCTCTCGATTACGAATCAAAATGCAGATGCGTTGTCATCCGTGAGGACTAAGATGAAATGCCTCGTTTCCTTTAAAAAGTGTCTCTGATTCTCTACACTCTATACGAAACACAGCATCATTAAGCTACTATTTTACATTGATATTCTGTGAGAGCGTGATCTTTCCCCGGTCGAACCGACCCATTCGTGCTACAACTATACTTCTGCATGGTTCTACCACGTATAAAGGACGTGCTTCATTTTTTTCATTTTAAAATTGTTCTCGTAATAAGATTGTTAATAAATGTTCATTATTTTTTTATAAATAGCTTATCGATTAAAACAAATGTTTAAAAATAATTAAATCGCGCTAATTAAAGTAGTAGGAATGTTTAAAGTGGAAATTGCAATAAAAGGCTGGTAATTGGGTCATCCACCCTATAAAGCGTGAATATAAAATTTTAATCAGATGCGTGTAATCACTCTGGGAGCTTGTAGCAAACTAAACTCGCTCCCAACGTGTGGACGCGGCGACCAAACTCTGCCAACAATCCTTTGATCTTTTGTAAAAAACCGACACCACACGGATCTCGCGCCAACTTGCGGGCCATCGTTCCAATACATACCAATGAAGCCCAAACACCCCGTCTACACGTTGGCCAATGCTATTGGCCATTACATTCGCCACTGTGTTGGCCAACGTGTAGAGGCGCCGTAAGATTTGCCCACACCATTCTGAGGGAGAGTTGCACTGGCGATGCTAAGCACAGACCGAAACTCGGGTTTACGTTTTAGGATGAATTATACTACTCAAGAATTAGCAAGTGCATCACACATTAAGATGATATTGCAATTTGGAAACATTTTCCCTCAGATAACCTATCATAGCCATTCGACCTATTATGTAAAAGTATTTCTGCAACAGTAATAAACTGAATTAGGATATCCAGAATAAATCAAAATTTTATCACATTTATTTATTTCAATTAGTACTGAATTTAATTACATATGCCTTTTCTTTAAAGTGCTGAAAGCAGACTTCTGGGTACAAACTGACACTTCCGCCTGGTGCAAAGTAAGGTCGGCAAAGCTGTCTTCAGAGTTTGGTTCTTTTATTTTCTTGGATACATTATTCTCTCTGTGATCATGTTTTATCACAATTGGCTTAGAAAGAGATGAAGATAATTTCTTGGCCCATTGATTTTCCGGTAACTTCTCCTCATTAGGTACCTTTATCTGCAATACATTATACATTTTAAAAGCTATTTTGACTAGTTTAATAATTAAAAAAAAAAACAATTATTAAATATTTTATTTAAAAAATAAGTGTAAAAATTTAATCTGCAATGAGTACGAGTATGAATTATTAAATGACAGTGATTTCTAATTTTAGCTTATTAGAGGTTATTGTGATATAATTTGACTTTACTGACTCCGCCCATCTATGAGTAAGGTAGACCAGATCACCAGCTAATCGACCACGACGGAAACTGTATTGGCGGTCACTGATCAGCTGGTGATCCTCAAGGTACCTCATGAGCTGACAGTTTACAATAGACTCCATCATTTTGGAGGACAAGGAAATGATGGCGATAGGCTTGTAGTCCACGTCTTCAGCATAATGGGAGGGACTCCATCAGGTCCACTCGACTTACTGACGTCCAGGGCTCCAGGGAGAAAAGTGCTTTGCGAACCGGGCGCTGTATAAACCGCATGTCCGGCATGGAGCACTCACACCACGGGATGGTCCGCGGAGTATTCTCCTCGTCATCGAGATTCAAGTTGGACGCAAAGAGAAAGCCTAACAGATCGGCTTTGTCCTTTGCGGCATGGGCCAGTGAGTCATGCAGAGGTGGAAGAGATGACTGACAGAAGTTCCCTTGGTCAGCCTTGGCGAGAGACCAGAATACACGGGTCCCCGAAGGAAGGCGAATTAGCTTCTCGCCAATTCTGCCGATGTGCTTGGACCTTGCCTTGGCAATGACTCTTTTGAAGCACCTGGAGGCGGAATTATATTTCTTTGTAAGAGCGCTGGTGTTTACATCCCGAGATGTTGATACGTTAGCCGAGGCTTGGTAGCACTCCTGCTTATAGCGTGATGATATTTTACAGCGGCGACCAAACCATAGCTGGGAGCTGCCTCCGATGGGTACCACAGAGGTTCACCTTTTTTAGGGATTGGGTGAACGAAAGCTGTCTTCAATGATTTTGGGACTACGCCTAGGGAGTAGGAGTACCGGAAAAGACGCGTTAAAGCCGGTGCCAACTCTGAAACACACGCCCTCAGCACAATTGGGGGGATTCCGTCGGGCCCACTCGACTTGTGGACGTCCAGGGAGAGAAGTGCTTTGCGAACCGAGCGCTGTGTGAACTGTACCTCTGGTATGGAGCACTCACACCGCGGGATGGTCGGCGGCGTACTCCCCCGTCATCGAAAGTCGAGTTGGACGCAAAGAAAGAGCCTAGCAGATCGGCTTTCTCCTTTGCGGCATGGGCCAGTGAGTCGTCCTCCCTTTTCAGATGGAAGAGATGGCTGATAGAAATTCTCCTGGATAGCCTTGGCGAGAGACCAGAATGCACGGGTTACAGAAGGAAGGCGAACTAGTTTCTCGCTAATTCTGCCTATGTTCTCTGACTTTGCCTTGGCAATGACTTTTTTGAAGGACCTGGAGGCGGAATTATATTTCTTTTTTAGAGCGCTGGTGTTTACATCTCGGGACGTTGATACGTCAGCCCAGGCTTGGTAGCACTTCTGCTTATAGCATGATGCTAATTTACAGGAGCGACCAAACCATGGCTGAAATTTGCCTCCGATGGGCACCACAGAGCTAGGAATACAATGTTCCATACCCTGAAGTACCAAATCAGCGACAGAATCAGCAACAACGTTGGAATCGTCCGGCGAGAAGCAAACCCGCCCCCAAGGGCAGAATGTAAAGAAAGACCGCATCCTATCACAATCGGCTGACCTATAGTGTCAAGCACGGCGGCAGCCTGCAGAATGCAACCGCGATTTCAGCGTAAATGGCACCACACTACGGACAAGACAATGGTCCGAGGAGCCTGAAGGGGCATCGACGGAAATCTGATATCCATCCGGATGGAGAGGTCAGCAAAAGGTCCAACAGGGAAGGTACATCATCCTTCACATCTGGAAACCGCGTAGGCGAAGTAACCAGTTGAGTCAGACCATATGCCAAGGCAAAATCATGAACAGATCTCCCCGCATGATCAGTTAAACGTGAACCAACCCATTCAGCGTGATGGACGTTAAAATCGCCTAGGATCACGATCTCTGCGGAGGGGATCTGCTGTAGCAACGAATCTGTAGCCATTTGGACGTGATCGAAGAGTCCTAGAAGAGGACCTATAGAGGCACCCGTAGACGCGCGGATGGTCGTCGCTGTTTACGCGTAGCCGACGGTTGGATAGGACCGAACCTTGAAGACTGCTGAGGCGTCGAGAACAGATGTCCTCTCTGACGTAAACGCAAACTCCAGCCCGAGGCACAAAGGAGTGTTCCAGTTTGTACCCTGGGTAGGAGAGATACGAGACATCAGCCGGAGAGGACACCTACGTCTCGGTCAGAAAGAGCAGAGCCGGCCTCGCCGTCTCGAGATGGTAGTGGACGGCGTTTAGGTAGTAGGTTTAGATGAAGTCCCCTGATATTGCAGAATTTCACGGATAGCGTGGCAGGAGTCGCCTTGGTCTTGATGCTCCGTTTACCCCGAGCAGATGTAGTCTGCGGAATGTGAGCGGAATTTTGCCCCCCCCCCCCCCAGAATATGCGGGGCAGCCTGAGCACTCACGCTCAGGAGTGAAGTAACTTGGTCGTGGATGCTCAGCGAGGGATTCTCCAGGGGTGCTGGTACCCTCCTCCATTGGACCTCCGGCCACCTGCACTCACCAGACGAAAGCTGAGATTCCAATTTACGCCGGTATTCGGTGAGGTCGTGGTACCACCCCGGTTTGAGCCTTCCCATACGCGCAACAGAAAAGCTGACGCGTGGCTCTACCACTGTTGAAACAAAAGTTTCGACAAAAAATGAGATTGATTATGGCCATCAGATGATGTCTCAGTGATCGCGAGGGTGAAAACTGGCAGCGATCACCAAATAGTTAGAGGCACACTGGACGTAAACGTTAAGTTGGGAGGTCTCGTCGCGAGGTAATGAAGTCAACGTTCCATCTCCCTCGTGCACTAATACAGGGTCCCAAAAACTTTCAGCTCGAATTACAAAACTGTTTTCAGTGCCTAGAAGACTACAACACAATGGACGATATGAATCACAAGCTCATGGAAACTGTGTGGTCGGAGCAAAGTTCTGCAAGACCCGCCGCAGAAGAACACAAAAAGTCTCCGATTACATTCTCAATCTCCTGGCTGTTAGACGGGAAATGAAGCTGCAGTCTTAAGCAGATTTGACAGTATACAGCCAACTGAACAGACAGATCTCCAAATACATGCGGCAGGACTTACGCAACTTTAATACAGCTCGTACTGAAGAAGCGATTGGCGCCAAAGTCTTTGCCAGAGATCTGTCTGCCAGAAAAAGCCAACTGTCAAGGCTGAAGACTGAGTGTCTGTGGCAGCATCGTTTCGGGAACACCTGCGATTTTGAGTGAGATTGAGAGGTTCTATGGGGTGCTGTACACGTCATCGTTTAAGCCACACGCAAGTGGGTGTAACGATACAAGAGCAAGTCTTCTCCAACACTACTCTAATGATATCCCAGACGTCAGTATGAGCGAGATTAGAATGGCTCTAAAGCACCTTAAAAACGGCAAGTCCCCAGGCAAGGATGGAATGGAATTACAGCGGAGCTTCTGAAAGCGGATGGAAAACCAGTATTTGAAGTACTTCAGAAGCTCTTTGTTTCCGTCCTCCATGGTGGCACCACTCCAGAGCGTGGAGCAGAAGTGCGGTGGCCTTTTTCTTCAAGAAAGGTGACAATGCTCTTTTTAAGAACTACAGACCGAATTCATTTCTGAGAGTTTCGAGAGTCGTGGTCCTCCACTGCTGGCTGTATGAGGACGCTCAAGGCCGCTCAGTGAGCTATGGATAGGGCTATGCTCGGGGTTTCTCTGCATGATAAACTTAGAAATGAGAATATCCACAGAACAACCAGAGTGACCGACATAGTCCAACGGATTGAATAAAACTATTATTTACGGATCTTATCGCGTTTAATTACTTTATTTTTATGATTATCCCGACGTTTCGGGTGCTTTACAGCACCCATGGTCACGGGGGGGACTGAGATGTTTGACGTCCCAATGTCATAGTTAGTCCGGCTACCTTCAGTTTTTTTTTTATATTAATTTTTGGTCCGATTTACGCAAAACGAGCTTATAGTATCATGAAGTCTTGCAGTGGTATGCTTGGGTTTGGGTTTAATTTTGTTAATTATAGGATCCCAAGCAGATGGTAGCACCCAACCATCTTCTCTATTGAAATTTGGATGTTTTTTAATTTCAATAGCCTCGCGTATAATCTTTGGTAGGAATCGGTGTTCTCTTGCGAGAATTTGTGGTTTATCAAATCTAATGTAATGGTGGGGACGATCTTGAACATGTTCGCAGATTGCAGACTTCCCGGAGCGTCGGTGCTTCACATCCGCTATATGTTCCTTCACGCGGGTTTTTATAGATCTCTTTGTTTGACCTATGTAAGAGAGACCACATTCACAATCTAGCTTGTATACACCTGCATCTTGTAGAGGAATATTACATTTGATGGATGGTAAAAATTGGGAACTAATCTTCTTCAGCTGCTTGTAGTATGTCTTAATGGACGCTCGCTTCAAGATGTAGCCAATCTTGTCCGTGACTCCTCTGACATATGGTAGTAGATCAGGCGCGCGCTCGACTGTGGCCGGCTTCACTCGTTCACTGTGACGTGGGCGCGGGACCCGAAGCTTGTTATCTTGCAATACTTGCTTGACGTGCTGAAGCTCCGCGGCCAGATGTTTTCTGTCACAGATCCCTCGTGCTCTCTGAAACAAAGATTTACCCACGGTAGCTAACTGTGAAGGATGATGGTGAGATTCACCATTTAGATATCGGTTGGTATGGGTCTTTTTCCTATACACAGTGTGACCAATAGTGTTATCAGGATTTCGGATGACTAAAACATCTAGGAAGGCTAAATTATTGGTCTCTAACTCCATTGTGAATTGTACTCGTATTTTAGAGTTTATGGAGTTAAGGTGGTCTAAAAATGCAGTTACTTTGTCAGATGGTAAAATTGTGAAAGTGTCGTCTACGTACCGCTTGTAGAACCTTGGATTTACAGGAGCAGTAAGAAGGGCTTTCTCCTCAAAGTCCTCCATGAATATGTCGGCGACTATGGGAGACACAGGTGAGCCCATCGCCACACCATCTACTTGCTTGTAGAACTCCTCCTTCCACAATAGATAGCCAGATGTGAGGCAATGTTCAAGTAGTATTGCATATTCTTGAGGCATGTTATTTTCTTCTAGCTTCCTAGTTACAATTGAGATGCAGTCCACAATAGGTAGGCATGTAAATAGTGACTGAACATCAAAAGTGACCATAGTTTCATTGTTAGCGAGATGTAGGTCTTTTATCTCACTCACAAAATGGTACGAATCCTTTGTGTGTGCTCTGGTATGTCCTCTCAGTGGTGATAGTATTTTTGCTAAGTATTGTGCCAGCCTATAAGTTGGTGAATCTATCTGGCTCACTATGGGACATAGTGGAGCGTTTGGTTTGTGTATCTTCGGTAACCCATACAACCTCGGTGGTTTGGCACATGATGGTATTAGCGAATTCACGTCGAGATTTAATTTTTCGGAGTATTTCTTTATTAAATCGCTAGTTGTTTTAAGCGTGTTAGTTGTAGGGTCTGTTTTGACCTTTTTATATGTACTTTCGTCCGATAAAAGTTGTTGTATTTTAAAATTATATTCCGACGCGTCCATTACTACCGTAGCATTTCCTTTATCCGCGCGGAGAATCGTGAGTTCTGGTCTGTTCCGTAAGTTATTTAGCGCTGTAAATTCGTCTTTGGGAAGGTTTGGTTTCGGCACTGAACTACGACGTAACAAGGACGAAATATCTTGACGTATGGCCTCCAAATCTTCCTTACCGATATTATTCTCAAACAGACAATCCTCAACACTGCAGATAATTTCTTCGTACGGGATTTTTCGCGGAGTTAATGCGAAGTTCATTCCCTTCGCTAATACTTTCATTGTCGGTTCGTCCAGTGTATGTTTTGACAAATTATAGACAGTGCGTTGTTTATAGTTTGTGTCTATGGTAAACGGTTGTTTATTGATCTGGCGTTGACTTGGATGTTTGGCATTTGATTTGATCGTTAATTTTTGGTATTTTTCTATTAGTTTATTTTTGCATTCATTGTATTTCGATGTTTCTCGTTTGTTTAAAGTTTCGATGCAATAATTAAAATCAAATGTCGTTAAAATTGTCTTTAGTTCACTGGACAAGTTGTCTATGGTGTTGTTTATGAAATGTAAATCGAACCGTTTCTGCTGAATCACCGTCCGTAACAACTTTTTACTTGCCTGATTTAAGATCTTAGCGCTTCCTCGAATGTCCTTCTTTGTTGATATTTTGACACACGTAGGAATGAGATATGTAATATTCCTCTACAAGATGCAGGTGTATACAAGCTAGATTGTGAATGTGGTCTCTCTTACATAGGTCAAACAAAGAGATCTATAAAAACCCGCGTGAAGTGAAAAAGAACATGTTCAAGATCGTCCCCACCATTACATTAGATTTGATAAACCACAAATTCTCGCAAAAGAACACCGATTCCTACCAAGGATGATACGCGAGGCTATTGAAATTAAAAAACATCCAAATTTCAATAGAGAAGATGGTTGGGTGCTACCATCTGCTTGGAATCCTATAATTAACAAAATTAAACCCAAACCCAAGCATACCACACCAAGACTTCATGATACTATAAGCTCGTTTTGCGTAAGTCGGACCAAAAATGAATATAAAAAAAAAACTGAAGGTAGCCGGACTAACTATGACATTGGGACGTCAAACATCTCAGTCCCCCCCATGACCATGGGTGCTGTAAAGCACCCGAAACGTCGGGATAATCATAAAAATAAATTAAAGTAATTAAACGCGATAAAATCCGTAAATAATAGTTTTATTCAATGTGTAGTGTTCGCGTAAATATAAGAAATCATTATAGTCCAACGGATTAGTAAGCTGAAGTGGCAGTGGGCCGGCAATATAGCTCGAAGAACCGATGGGGGAAAAAGGTTCTCGAGTACCAGCAGGCGAAGTGTAGGGCGACCCTCCACTAGATGGAGTGACGACCTAGTAAGACATGCAGGAAGTCTGCAGATACAGGTGTCTCAGGACCGTGCTTTGTGGCATTCCTTAGGAGAGGCCATGTTCAGCTGTGGACTTGGAAAGGGCTATAATGATGATGAATGATGATGATGTAAGCCGGTGATGCCCATGCAAGGAAAGAGAATTGGACCATCTGTTGTAAACACTCAGATGCATAGACAACAGGTAGTCAAAATTCGAATTTACCAGGACATTTTTAAAATTACTTTATTTTAAACTTAAAACTAATAATTTGTGATACATTCATTAATACGCAATGTGTTACAACTTAAAACTACATGTCTGATACATGTGGGAGCCTAACTACGACTATCCTTGAAACATTTAACAAGATCTTACCGAACATACTTAAGACCTCTTTTGGAGTTTGCATATGTGATATGGGACCCGTTTTTTCGTAAAGATATAATAGTACTGGAAAATGTTCAAAGGAAGGCCACAAAAATGGTAAAACAACTATGAAAAACATGACATATGAGCAGTGAATGAAAAAGCTCTTAACATCACAACACTAGAGTGCCGTAGACAGAGAGGTAGTCTGATTGAAACATACAAAATACTGACAGGATATTACAATGTTCCTACTCTGCCAAATTTGTACTTACTAAAGAGCAACAAACGTCTGAGAGGACATCAACTTAAACTTTGCCATAGGGCTGCCAAGTGGAATCCTATAAAGAATTTTATAACAAATCGTGTTGTCACCAAGTGGAATAAGCTACCGCAAAATGTGATTGATACTCCTACATTGAATGCCTTTAAAATCTCCAAACATTAAGACACACATGCATCAGCTTTTTAGCGGCTAGTGTGTTTATGTATAAAGAATAATAATAATAATCCTAAATCTTATTCTAGAATATTAAACAGTTATCAATAAGCATATGAAGGACCACCTGTCTTCCAGACGCAATTCAACAACCTACGTCCATGCTTACGCTTGAACTGTGATGGACTTCATTGCAATACTGGGAATACTGGGATGCACAACTAGGTTGGATTTTTGACCTAGCCAAATTGTATTGTCTATTAGAGGTATTAACAAATGACAAATGTAAACACATTTAAAAACAATTTTAAACTGAAATCAAATTTAAGATACCTACATTTTTAAATAACCAATACTTGCCTATTGTATTGCGCATAAAGATTACAAGCAAAAAATGACATTAGAACATTAAACTAAGATACCATCAGAAGTAATGTGATGATAATAAGATAAGGTTCTAAATGGAAAACAAGTTAGTACAGAATATGTCTTTTCATTCCATGGTCCACCCATACAGTGAAGGGCCATGGTTTTGAACACGATATTTTCACACCCAAACAGTACAAAAGTAGTTGTTTTTTGAGTTGTCATAATATCTTGCAGTTCCCTAATTATTGCAACTCTCCTACTTGCCAAAGCCCATTAAAAACAACTGGTATTTTTAATACATATAGAATGAAAAATGACCCAAGAGATATAGATTGAGAGCAGTAAATCACTCAATGTCAAAACATATTTTCAAGTCTCTAATAGTTAATAATTGAAATTAAGCACATTTAGAAAAGTGGAAGCGACTTAATTCAAAACTGAAAAAATATAACTAATAGTTGGATATATTTACCACTTTCATACTTTGAGCACTCTTGTATGCAACTGATGGTAAATTTATATTCTCCTTATTTGATGTTTTTTCTGTACTTTTCAGTAGTTTGGGAATTGATGAGACTCCTGGTAAAGGTTTCCTAGGTCTGACATCTTTAAGCAATGGGACTTGTGGAGAATTCTTAATATATGCAGCAACTGGACTTGTTATGTGTTGATATGAGTTTTTACTTGGTGTTAACTTTGTCTTTGGAGTTATAAATTGTTTCTTTTGTGATATGACACTTTTGGGTGTCTTAAAAACTAGAGCTTCTTGTTTTATATCTCCGCAAAAAGGGGTAGTAACATTGTCAGTTTTATGTGGATGATCAATTGTTTTTGTAGAAAATGTATCTAAACTAGGACCAGAAGTACAATCACTTAAGCCATCTTTATTTTTAATTGGAGTAAAAAGTTCTGTGTTTAAAGAATGTTTGACCTCTTCTAACTTTAACACATCTTTTATGGACTCAGGTACATTACTTTGCTTGGTATCAATAACTTCAACTTGCAATGCAGTTTTTTCATTATTATTATCTTCTGACTCTTCAATTTTACTGTGAAGGTTACATCCTTCTTCATGAGTTGGACCATTATTTAATATATATTCAATAACTTCCAATGTATTATCTAATTCCTCTTTATCACTGTTAGGTAGTTTTTTAAGTTCTGAAACCATTTTTTCCATTTCCAAAAAACTATCATTGATTGAATTTATATTCCCACTTGAAATTCCCTTATGTTCACTTGATAATCTCAAATTCGAATCAGAAATGTTCAGAGAAACCCCTGGAAGATCAGGTTCAGAACGCGTTTCAATTATTTTCGGACTGCTGTCAATATCGCTTTCCTTTTTTGTATTGTTGCACCTTATTGTTTAAATAAATAAATAAAACAAAACATTACAACATTTTGAAGAATACTATTTAAAGGTATAGCTTTATAAAATAATATTACAGTCAATTTAAAAAAATAATATACTTACTTCGCACTGTACCGATATCTATCCATCGTTACATGCTTTTTAATTTCGTTAGTGGAAAGATTTCCAAAAAATATTTCTTCATCGCTTAAACTATCATTAATATGCATATCCATAATTAAGTCAAATAATGCTCAACAACACGGAAAATTAATCTAACAAACTTTTGTGATTATTTTCTATTTTCTCATTTCTCGGTTTATACCGTTTATACAATGGTACTCTGTGTTCTCATTGCTACGATTCCACGATTTCAAAATGTTCAAAATTTACCGATCTCGATCGATTTTTTTAACTGGCTTTACGGCTCTGGGTTCTAGCCCTTCTGAGCTTATCATTTCTTTCCACTGACCTCTATATATACAAGTACGCTGGACTGGCTATACACCGTGACATGCTGAAGCGATTTGATTTCCGCCATTTTGGCGCTGACAGCAGAAGTGCACGTCCACGGAACTAATAATAGGGATAAGACAGTGTACCAAATTATATCGATAAAAATTCTGTACCCTACCTATACCTAAATAAATATAGACTCTATGGATAGATGGACTCTACCCGTAACGTCCATTCTATTTATGTGTCATATTAATATAATGCCATTATCATTCATCATCATTAAAACTCTTCACAAGTCTACTGCTGAACATAGGCCTGACGAGAAGATGTGTCGTAATTTCTCGAACGCTGCCCAGCCAAGTTGAATCCGTCGATCGACCTCTCGGTCGAAGTTGGACATACCTAATCGGACTATTTGTCCCAGGTAAACGTACTTGTCAACAACTTCGAGCTTAGTGCTCCCAACAACTACGAGCATAGGTGTGACATGGACATTAAACATGATCTTTGTTTTGTCGCTTATGTTCATCTTAAGACCCATCCATTGGGAGGCACTATTGAGGTCATTGAGCATATTGCTTAAGTCCTCAAGCGATTCTGTCATAAGGACTATATCGTCGGCAAATCGAAGGTGAGTTATATACTCGCTATTGATGTTAATACCGTATCCTTTCCAGTCCAGTAGCTTGAAAACGTCTTCCAATGCAGCAGTGAAGAGTTTAGGCGATATAACGTCACCCCGTCTTACACTTCTCTACAATTGGATTAGTTTTGTACTCTGGTTCTGTACTAGGACAGCCATCATAGCCCTTAACCATTCAACCAAAAAATTATTAAGATTAAACGAACTACAGAAAATAAAAATAAAAACATAATTTCTAGAATAACTTATTGTCACCCGTTCATTTAGTTCTATATAGAAAATGAGGAAAGAAGAAATAAAAAAAACATTCGAAATAATAATCTAATACTTTTATACTTACTGGTTACTGGTACCAAAAAACATTGTCGGTATACCACACTTTTTCAAAGTGGTGCAATTCTCATGTTACTAATAAAAAAGTCGTCTGTAAAATGTTTGGAACAAATATGATAATTTCGTTTCGGACGCCAATTCACAACATTTATGCTTTTGAGCCATAATTTTAGTCTAGGTTCAGTTGGAAACCTGTTAATTAAATAAACATTTGATAATCATCCGTTGTTGGCGATTTTGTATACTATAGTACGAAGATACATAATATAAGACAGGAACTCACACCTAATAGTTATCAAAACTCAGTAATATACACCCAAACATGTTGGTATATATGATATTAAGATTAGTAACACATTTATAAGTACTTATATTATCAAATAGTTTTAATTTCTTTAATATTTGCTGCAAATTCACTTACTTGTGAAATGTTATACCACTTTGTTTTTGGTAACGAGTTTTACAGATTACGCACACTCTCATTATTAATAAAAATAATTCTGATCATATAACTAATATTATACACAATCAAACAACAAAATACTTTCGTTTTTTAGTTTAAAAGTTCAAAATACAGACTTATGAAATAAGACAATATAAATAAGACAACAGACTTTGGCATATTATGTCAATTTTATTTTTAAAAGCATCCTTTAGCGGCGCTTCAAATTGGCACAGTCATTTTGTATGGTATAGCCAGTCCAGTGTACTTGTATATATAGAGGTCAGTGTTTCTTTCGGAATCATAGAATACTATTGTTACGAGCTTAGGGTTCGTGACAATAAAAACTGCCGATTGAATTACCAAAATTAACACTTTAATTCACGTTACACTAATTAAAACTTAAAAGACACTAATAATTAATCACACTGATTCACTTTACTTCGCTCCGAAGCTTCGCTTGTCTCGCCAAATTCAATACTGCCCCGACCGCGTCTTGCAGCGCCTTTAAATACACATTTTTCATCGAAACGTCCAGAATATTCAAGTAAATACGCGCGCCAACCAACCAGGCGCAGAAAGTTCGAGTGTGGGGCTTCCAGAAAGCTTAATTCTTCTGTTCGATACTAGATGGGGCTGTTGGTCGAAAGATTAGCCATGTCATTTTCTGGAAAGCTCTCCTCGCTTTGTTACCCGACACTAGATGGCGCTAGTGCCAGACGTCAACATAGGGGCGCAACACTATAATACATACATATAAGAACGGGGGAGTGGACGTAGCTCTTGTTGCCACTAACATGTAAATTCACACCTATAAATGTCAAAGTTCCCAAATTCCATGATCCTCGTACAAAATAAGGTTGACAGCCAGTTGAAATACGATACGCTGGACCTGAAATTGTCCTATTACAAGTACTTGCCGGAAGGCGTGCTCGAAAATGATCGCGCCAGGCTCTACTGGGACCGGGCCTCATCACAGACAAGACAGAAATCTTCCGTATATTTAGTCCGTCTTCAGTAACCATACATTTTTTTAGCATTTATTTTAGGTAGGACGTGAATATTAAGTTCCTTGTTAACTTTATTATACAGGTATCCGCCAAGATAGCAAAAAAATCTCCTGGAAAAGTAGGTACAATGGTCATAATGAGAAGTACACACTCGGTCTTTGCGTCTCGTGTGCTGTGTACTTTTTTGGTCATATTTTAATTGTGCATGTTTTTTTAATACTGTGTATATAATAAACAGTTGCCGGACTGTAAGAATTTTGGAAATTTTATAAAGATGACTGGTCGGAAACAATATACTGATACCTCACATTGCGAAGTTTTTGGGAGATTTTGATTAACCCTGTTGTCGACGGCCAACTTCCCGCTAAAACTCCGATCATAGATAATAGCTATGTAGCAAGCCACAGTCCGTTTCACAAAAAAAGTCACGCGGAGAATATGCGAACTAAAATTTTATGTGTGAAATTTGACACCAGATCTTAAACTTGGCAAAGACCATGAATGTTAGAGAACAGGAGAAAGATCAATACGCTACGATATTAAAGCATAGCCCGCCTATCATTGAAAATTGTAGAATACATAGCGGCGCTGACGTTGATTAGTAGTAACTGCGAAGTTAGCTGTTTATGAGTACAAGTAGGTGAAGTTAGTTGAATATTGTACAAATTTTCATTTCATTTTTTCGTAGAAAATTTTCATGCTCCGTAATTTTGTAATTTTTGACATAAAAAAAACATTCAAAAATGGAGAAATATTTTATTGTGCGTGGATGTGCAAATGGTTGAGCATCTAATCGGAAAAATAGACTTAAAATGACTTTTATTGGCTGCATTTAGTGATCGCAGCGCCTCATTTATGGTGGCCATATTTCTGGGACACTATTTTCTACGGCGATCGTTCTCCTGTTTTCTAACCTTCATTAAAAAGGGGCTTCTTTTGTGAAACGAACTGTAACTCCGATCTCGATCGATCAACAGTCAATCCATAGATTATTATTGTATATAGCATGGAGGTTAGAGAACAGGACAACGATCGCTATTGTCCCAAACAAAAACAATTTAAAAAAGGCTGTTGTGCGCTGGTTTGAAATGATTATAATATCGTTCAAAAAGAAAATAACGAAATTATTATTATTAATATTATAAATTATTACAAATATAATTTATTAATTATTATTGATTTATTATTATTATATTTTTATATTATTTCACCTTTTTTAATGTTTCTTTTCATCAATAATTAAAAAATTACTTCGCACATAGTAAAAGTAATAAAGTAGTAAAAATGCATTAAAAGTAGGAAAATTAAAAATATTATTGATTTTATTAAAAATTTATACAAAACAAATAAAGTGAACTTATTAATTAATAGTGACATAGTTAATTTACCCTTCAATAAAACAAGAATTATATGTACGCAATTTGAATTACGATACTCAGAAACGACCTATCTGTTTTTTATATTCAGAAACAATATCATTTCTCTTTCATTGGGGTATTTTTCAAACTCACTCATTGGGGTATTTTTGTCTCTCTCTGTTTTTTCTGATAATATATTTTAAAATCCGTAATTTTTGAATGCGTAAACAATACGAAAATAAATTAAGGAAGTTGAAAACGAATGAAATATGATTTTGACTTTTGGAAACCTTTCTTGTGTAGTTTGTGCAGAATCTCATCACATATGACGGCATTTTCGGTGCAAAAACAAAACATGAATTACTATCAACGCCGTTGTCAATGACGCGACGACTGAGCTCAGGTTTGCTAATTAGCCTAGTTTTTACGTGCCACTTGCGGTGCGCGTATATCCTATCTACCTTTTTTTCTTATAATATAATTGGATTTGGTATTAAACCAAACCATTACACAAAATTTGCCAGGATCATATCGTAATTTTATTTTCAAAAATTCGGAGTCATAGTGGTTTCTCGGACAATCCAACAGCGTGGCAATTTGAGTTGATAAACAAAAAACTTCTAATTCACAACGGTTGGCGGTAACTGGAACAGGCACCAATTGTGTAGCCTTAGAAAACATATTTTAACATGTTCCCTCGCGGATAAAATTAACTTCACAGCTTAGCGTAAAAATATAAATACTACAGGTAAAGAATGTGACGCAGAATATCCGGAAGACGTTGATTTAGATTTGGAATGCCAACTGTACCTCTCTCCAATTGGCGAAAAGGTTGTTGAGTATATCGCTGGGTTCGTAGTGTTTTCTTTATCAAAAAAATTAAATGTGATGATTGCCTCAAAAGCATGTGTGGGCTTGTGATGACAAAAGTTTGATTTATCACAAGACTAAAGGCTTTTTAAAGTATGCGTCCAAGTGTTATAATATTATGTCGGCTTTGTGAAAAAATTATAAGGCAGGGTATTGATAACAATAAAAAGTTGGACACACATACACATACACTACAGAATTTATTGTAAGAAAAGGATTGAACGCACTTATTGATAAAAAATATTTCCAAATATTGCTATTCATGATACTGATATAACAGTCAATCATAAAGTAGAACTGGCAAAAGCTGTCATGAATAAATGTGTTCATACAAGAATTTCATACCTTGCCAGAAAATCTAATGCTGAGAATTGTATAGGAAATTAACTCATTTTAAAAATCAATAAATAAATGCTGTCAGCGCTGCCCTGGTCGGCCATCGATGGTACTGTACCACTTAGTCAATGTCCATGGTACAGGCAAACATATTCCAAAGCTTTTCTAGGATCATTTTTTTATTTATTTATCAAATATGTCTCTATCAGCGAATCTAGCACTTCTTGCAATCTTGTAACTTTTTTGTTTAAATACCGTATTAAAATAAACGAGTTTGTCACTAAGATCAGCCTAAAATAAATATTTTTTCAATTTATTTATAATTTTATTCCTTTATAATTAATTTACTAATTATTAAGCTGAGATACTTTATTTTTCTTTCACAAAAGAACTTTATTGTAATAATATAAATATCGATTTTAAATCTAATTTTTTTTTGTGATGCTCCACTTTTTGTTTTTGGTATTTAGAGCCTTTTTATTTCATGTATTCATGTTTAAAGATGCCAAATTACAGCTCTTTAGAATACAAATAGTCTCTGCACTAAGCCAAAAAATACCAAGAAAGAACAAAAGAGATGACTTGCAACATTACTTATTTACATTGGCCAGGGATCATTTAAAAAACTTGAAAATGAATATGAAGCAATGGCAAGAAACTGGGCATTTAAACTGGAGAGGATGTCTGCAGAACAAAGACGACTGGCAGAAAAGTTCATCAATGAAATACTCTTTGAAGGTGAAGAAGGAAATTTTCGTAGACATTCAGTAATGATTAACCTGAGCAATCAATATTCCATTCCCTCATCTCAATCTTCTGTTTTGTACATTCAATCTCTTATCTATCACACTCAATCTCCTGTTCCGCAATCTCCATCTACCGTTCAGTACATTCAATCTTCTACCTCTCACACTCAATCTACTGTTCCGCAATGTCCATCTCTCGTTTCGTACATTCAATCTTTTATCTCTCACACTAAATCTACTGTTCCGCAATCTCCATCTCCCATTCCGTACATGCAATCTTCTATCTCTCACACTCTATCTACTGTTCCGCAAACTCCATCTCCCGTTTCGTACAATCAATCTCCTATCTCTCATACTCAAAATCAAGCTCAAGCTCATGCTTTATCTTATACGGAGCAACCTGCGTTAATTCATATTCCAGACTCGCCAACAAATGAAACTAAAGCTGAGACAGCAGCAAAATACTTGTTGACAGCAGCAGAATACATTTTAAATAGTATGATTTAAATAAAATCTAACTTGAACATTGATGCTTATACTAGAACTATTTTGTCCGTGCAGTTTGGGTCATAAATCATCGGACTATTTCGCTCTCTCTCCTACTCACGGGCCTTAGGGGCGAGCAAAGTGATGCGCATAATTGTTGATTATTGAAGCGTTATCGATAGTGTATTTAGTTTTTTCATTTATGTGGGTTAGTGATAAAATGAAAAAAAAAAGATAAAAACAATGTATTTATTAAAATAAGAATAATGATAATTTAAAATAAATTATTTATTAGGTATATATGTATTAAAAAAAACTTTTACTACAAATGTTTGGAAGGTAACAAGTTATATTAGAAATAAATATAAAGATAACAACTTATATATAAAATTAAATCTAAAACTATTTATATTGAAATTCTACATCAGAATCATCTGAGTCATCGTCATCCACATGAATTACGATATCTTCTGCCTGATGAGATTTCTTCAAGTCTTCCTCTTAGAGTTTTTCTGCATGCTTCACACAATCGCCGCCGTGTATCTACTTTCGATGACTCATTTGTTGTTATCGATAATGGCGTTGCGCCCACGCAACATGGTCACACCCTAGCCGGGCTATGACCCCAACTGCACAGACAAAATAATTTTACTATAGTGGTTCATTTATTGCTTCACAAGTTTCAATGATAATGTTGCTAAATGTTTGAGGTGCAAGTGCAACGCAGTCTTGAAATTTTAAGTCTTCGAAATCGGTGCCACCAGGTACCTCAAAGTTATTGATAATCTTTGAGAAGTTGGTATAGATTTGCGCATAACTGTACCTTTTTTCAATGAGAGGACAGAGTACAGTCAGTAAGTCTTCAAAAGTTTTTTTTTCTATGCGCAATATTTCCCGTAGCAAATTCTCGTGGGTATATTTATCTCTTAATTTCAACGATTCTCGACTCCATCGTCTTCTTTTTTTTTTGTCTTCATACAGTTTTTTGTCTTAATACACAGTGCTATCAATGCCAAAAATGCATCATCTGAATTATTCATTGTAAGCGCTCGGCACGGCAACGTGACGTCACGAAAGGCGAAACCCGAATCTACTAGATAGTTAACAGATTTGTTTCATATTTGGTTTGATCGTATAAGCTATTGTTTGATGCAAACGTGAAGTTTGGCAAAAAAAATTGTCAACCAAATTTGTCTGTTAACAGGGTGCTTTAAAATAAAATCACAAATTTTAAAATTTTTGTCTGTCTGTTTGTTTGCTCCTGGTAAAATCGCTGAAATGGCTGGACAGATATTAACGGTACTTTCACTGGCAGATAGCTGACGTTATAAGGGGTAACTTAGGCTACTATTAAATTAGAAAAAGAATTAGAGTACCGGGTCGGTCGGGTCAAAATCAGTGATTAGGATTTTTTTCTATCAAGAAATTCTTAGTAGCGGGTAGTAGTCGTAAAATAAAATAAAGCGGTAAATAAAAACCAATGCACGCTTTTTCATACTTTTTAGGCTTACGACTTTCTATAATCCTAAAAATATTTTTAAGACAAGTACTTTTTAAAACGAAATAAAATTAATTATTTTTTATTATAATTGATGTAAACGTTATTTTAACCTTAATATAAATTATAATACAAATAACTGTGTATTTGAAAGTTTATTGATTGTATTTATAAAAATTAACTATTTACATACACTTAGTTAAGCTTCTTTTATAGCAGACAACTGTGTCCTTCGATCACTAAATATACAGTATACACTAACTAAACAACGTCAAACACTAAATAAGGTCGCGCGCGATGAATAACGTGCTACTAGATCAAATTTGCGTCACACGTCCTCTCCTAACAGCTCTACTACAACTACTAAGTCTCACGAGTCAAAAATCTGAAGATTTTAGAAGGGTCATTTTTTAAACAATAATTGGCCTATGCTTGGAACCACTAGTGTCTGTGTTGTAGAGATAAAGTGCCCGTACAAGTAAAATACTTTGAATCAGTACTATAATAATGGAAAATTGGGCAACATATATTGTGCTCAAATTCAAACACAAATGCATAGGTCTGGCAAAATTAAGGGTTTATTTTGTATTGCACATATGGACTATGAAACTTCGAAGAATGTAAACGTGCATGAAGTGCTTCATGATAAAGACTACTGTGACAATCTTGTTCAAAAATGTGTAATGTTTTGGAAGGATAGCGGGAGACTTAGAGATGTGTCACATCCATATGTCGTACGCGTAAATATGGGAGACTATGAATACGTAACGTAATTATAAACAAACTAGCTGTTACCCGCGGCTTCGCCCGCATGGTCACTGGGAAATGAACTATCCATTGCTTTTTGAATTGAAAGAAAACTGAGTTTTATAGATTTGTCAGAGATGTAGCCATTAAAAGGAAACTGAGCAAAATTGATTCGTCAGCCTATTTAAATGTTTTGAAACGCAGTGTATAGGAAAGCATGAAAATAGCCTGTTTATTCCGAATGGAAATGGGATATTTTTTTTAATTAAAGGAAACTGAGCATAATTATCTGTCAGGGATGCAGAATTTTGAAACGAAGCTGAGCTAAATTGATTCGTCAGAGATGCAGTTTTCTGAATTGAAAGGAAATTGAGCCAAATAAAAGATCCGTCAGAGATGCAGCCTTTTGAGTTGAAAGGAAACTGAGCTTAATAGGTCCGTCAGAGGTGCAGCATTTGGAATTGAAAAGAAACTGAGCTAAATAGGGGAAGATCTGTGGGAATTCTGATTAATTGATTGTGGGAATTTCGGAAAAAACTAACTGAACACTATTTTAAGACGCTACTGTACACAATGTTATATGTTTTTCCATTCGGGGAAAGAATGTGGAGATTCTGGGCATTTGACACAAGCGAACATGCTACATACAGCTGACCATGAGAGAAGCGTGGTTTTTCTAAGTTGACCCCCGCTACCTGTAACGTTTGCCCTTGCGCTTTATTAATTGTCATTGCAAAACTGAGCTAAATAGGGAACTGCAACCTTTTGAATTGAAAAGGAAGATCTGTGGGAATTATAGGGATCCGTGGCATAATAACATTTTCACCTTTTCCTACGCCTGTCAAAATTGTAGCACCGATTGTGTTCCGTCCAAGATGTTTCACACGCAGCCTTGCCGCGTTACATAACCGAGGAGCATCTAAATTTCGCATTAGCATGACTGGGACGCCTAATTTTAATTGAAGCTTATGTGAGGGCACACCTGACAACTCTAGAGAATTTAGAAACTCTACGGGATATGAAGTGCTCTGTTCTGTGTCCATAACTGTGTCTACTGACAAATACTCTGTTATTTCTCCTGCTACTTCGCTAAATATATCTGAATTTATTTTGTTAACGCTCTCATTTTTTGGTGCAAGAATCGCCCTTTCACATAACCATTTGTCTTAATGCATGTTGTTAGTTAAATCTGAATAAACGCTCGCAATTAATTCGGAATGGCTCTGTACTAAATTACAAAAATCTCTCGTCAATTTAACGCAGCCCTCAGCATCCTTTTCCAACCGCCCATCGCCAATTTTTAATAGGGTGTCAGCATAGTTTCCAGCATTGATACCATTATACAAATGCACTCTCATATTCGTAGTTAAAGTGAAATTTGTCACCTTGTTCCATAAAATAGACGACTTGAGGCATGCTTTAATTTCATCTGCAGGTGTGCTCTTTTGAATGACAGGTAAAGTTTGGCGAAAGTCACCAGCCAGTAAAACCACCATTCCTCCCATTACATCGGTATTGCTGCGCAAATCCTGGAGCGTTCGATTTAGTGCTTCTACAGCTTTTTATGTGACATTGTACTTTCGTCCCACACTAAAAGTTTGCATTGTCGTAGCATTATACCTCGTGCACTATTTTTGCTAAAGTTGCAGATTGGCGATTCTTCCTGGGCTAAATTTAGAAAGAGATTTAAAACAGAATGTGCAGTGCGGCCCCCGCTTATCAGCGTAGCGGATATACAGGAGGAAGCTACGGCCACAGCAATGTTTTATCTTTCCGTACTTGCGCTAATAATAAATTTAACAAAAATGTCTTCGCAGTTCCTCCAGGGGCATCTAAAAAGAAAAGTGCACCATTTCCAGATTCAATTTGTCCTAAATTCACTTTGTCAAAAACTCGTTTTTGTTCGGGAAGTAAGCGGGGTACAAATTCGGCCACTTGCTGCTGCAAAGCTGGTATATCGTAGTTTGTTTCACGTATAATTTCATCACTTAGTTCATTTTCGATTGTTCGCTGAGGGCTTATCATTCCAAAGTCGCTTAATTTTTTGCCTACCATTGCTTTTTCCCCAAAACCCCCTTCAAGTTATAAAAAACCCCCCAGGGAAAACCCAATTGGCTGGTGGCGCCCCCCCCCCCCCCTCCCCCCCCCTTTATTTTTTTAAAAAAAATCCCTCTTCCCCCCCCCCCCCCCCCTTTTTTCCCCCCCCCCCCCCACCCCCCCCCCCCCCCCAACAAAAAAAAAAAAAAAATTAAATTAAACCCCACAACCCACCCCCCCCCCCTCCTAAGGGGAAAAAAAAAAAAAGTTTTTTTTTTTTTTTGGGTTTTTTTTTTTTTTTAACCCCAAGGATTTGCCTCACCTTCACTCCTGAGATTAAATATTGCTGGGTCGCTTCCTTTATTTATGTACTTACAGATATACTTGATTGCGCGGACAGAGCTACATGCTTCTACATTAATGTGGGCATTAAACATTTTACATAGAATGGGCAAATACGGGACAATCAAGCTGTTATCTAAGGTTTCGAATGCTCCAGAGCTAGATTTGATTGTAACTTTCCTGCCACCATCTTCGGGAGCTCTGCGTCTGTATAAAGGGTAGCCATTGTCATTGTGCACTGTTTCTTTTAATAGCTGTTTAGGGAATTTCTTTGTACATTTTCCTTCTTTCATACATGACGATATTGAATTTCGTGCTCCACATGGACCGTGAATCATATTTCCGGAATCTCGGCGCTTATTATGTCGTCTATTTGGCTGGGCCGCAACTCCTCTTTAAGCCATATTAGAATGTGGGCATGCGGTAATCCTCTTTTTTGCCATTCAATTGAATACATGAAGCACTGCACCTCTACGAAAATTTTCCCTTTGTTTTAATTACATACATTAATTTTTGTACTTTTAATCTAAATACTCTAGCAACTAAATCGTGTCTGTCAGTACTTTTTTGGCCCGGCATTAGCTCCTCGGTTATTTCTTTCCATGTGGAATTGCAAGTAAAAGTAACAAAAACATCAGGTCTTCCGTAAGTTCGTACATAGGCGAATGCGTCTTGTGTGTACTCATGTAGGTAGCGGGGACTGTTAACGATAGATGAGGGCAGAATTACCATTTACCTAAATCTCTGGGGTTTACATTGGCGTCGCTAGAAACTGCATCTTGTAAATGTATATAATTCTCAACGTGCAGCTTTTTTATTTAAAGATATATAACGGAGACGTTCACTTTCTACCTTCACATACATGTCTACCAAAAATTGGTGAAATAACTGTCTACACCGGCCTCAGAGGTTAAAATCATTTTCTCGCAACATCATATGATACGCATAAAAATCCACACATGATACTTTTTTGTTCGGAGTAGGCTCCTTTGTGACCGGGTTAATGAGTGGAATTTGAAAATGATAACCCTATTGTTCTTTGCAATAAATCAATGGGTATTGCAGAGCGGACATAAAACTTGTGTATCGGCTACCCGTTGCAACGTATCATCAAGTGCTCGCAAGACAATTTCTCGTGAAGAAAATTGATCACCACAAATTACGGCTGCTATTTCGTTTATCAAAGGTGCATTGTAGCGCCTTTCATGCTCTCCTCGAGAGGTCCGATCTGCGTGAATGACGACTTTATAATCCTCTGTATAATCCTCAGGTAGGTTTTCTAAAGTAGTTTTAAACGTTTTGACTAAAACATTACGTTCATGCAAGAATCTTTGAATTTTGAACACTGTATCTCTCTCAACCCCGCCCCCCCCCCTCAGAATACTCGGGGCAGCCTGAGCATCCACACTCAGAAGTGGAGAAACATGGTCGTGGATGCTCAGCGAGGGATTCTCCAGGGGTGCTGGTACACTCCTGGGGTAGTCTATCATTAATTCATTCCGCTACCATGTTGTTGGGGGGGGGGGGGGGTTTGGGCCTCCGGCCACCTGCACTCACCAGACGAAACGCGGAAGCAGAGCTTCCACTTCACGCCGGTAATCTGTGAGGTTGTGGTACTACCTCGGTTTGAGCCGGCCCATACGTGCAACAGGAAGGTTACTGCGTGGCTCTACCACTGTTAAACACATGCCTGCGGTCTCATCTTTCCATTTTAAAGCGCTGCAAAATCGACACGCCTTGTCCATCAGTCCGATAACAACTAACCTGTGATTTTTATAATCAATCAACGGATCATAATTGAATGCTGCGTCATTAAAAACCGACCAATTGTTTCTTTGAAAATTTTGTCGACGTTCAGCTTGGAGCTGTGCATTTGCATCTCTTCGCGCCTGTGTCTGTTCTGGTGTTTCAGATGAGCCTTATAGTAGATTGACGTTCAGCTTGCTCAATGAGTCTGTGTTGAGTTTCATCAGGTGTTTCCGCGGCTCTTAAGGCGGCCTGACGTTCCGCTTGTTCGAATAGCCTTTGCTGACTTTGAGCAGGTGTTTCAGTATCTCTTAAAGTAGATTGACGCTCTGCCTGTTCAAGACGCCTTTGCTGACTTTGATCAGGTGTTTCAGTAGCTCTTAAAGTAGCTTGACGCTCTGCCTGTTCAAGACGCCTTCGGTGACTTTGAGAAGGTGTTTCAGAAGCTCTTAAAGTAGCTTGACGCTCTGTCTGTTCAAGACGCCTTTGTTGACGTTGAGAAGGTGTCTCAGGTGCTCTAAAAGCAGCCTGACGCTTTGCTTGTTCTTGCCTTCTCAGTTCAGCATCTTCTAAAGATTCTAGCGATCGAGCTAATCTTTTCGCTTGTCTTTGAGAAGATACTCTTGAAAGGCTGGACTTACGTTTGTGAGGCATTATGAAGTAACAAAAAACTATTTATAAAAAAAACGTTAAAATACTTAAAAGGAATTAAATTTCCTTTTAAATATTTTTTTAAAAGCAAATCCAAAATATCTAAAAGGAATATATATTCCTTTTAAATATTTTTTAAAATCAAAACAACAAAACCAATTCAAGACACAACACGAATCCGAAAACGATAGCCAAAAAAAATCGAATCAACTTTAACCAAATCGCAGAAAACCGAAATCGAAAGCAGTAGTCAATACATGTACCGGATACACTATCTATACTATTAATATTAAAACAACGAAAACCAATTCACGATTCTAAATAAACAAAATTCAAAATCAAAGCCAGAGTCTAAATATGTATAAAGGAATACTAACCAAATCAACAAAACCAACCCAAAAAAATACACAAATCCGAAAATGAAAGCCAATATAAATCCATTCAACCTTAATCAAATCACAAAGCAAATAACAAACAACCGACATCGAAAGCAGGTAGTCGAATAAGCTACAAATTAGAAACAATTTAATCGTATAGGTACCGTATGCACTATAATTTGTCGCGCGGCTCAACAGCGGGAGTTAAGTACATGTCAGGAAATATTTCGCTACCGCGTTTTAAAAACCTAGTAACGACATCTAGCGGAATCAATTTAAACTATATATACGTTAGTTAATAAGAACTCTCAAAAAATATTTTTCTTATAATTTTGCACAATTTTTCTTATTGTAATACCGATTCATTCATGACCACATATAAAAAAAAAAAAAAAAAAAAAAAAAATATTATTCCAACACCAACATTATTAATAAGGGTTACTAAGAACTGTTTCTACCACAGTTAAGTAATAGTTAAGGGTGAAAGCGTGACAGGTGGTGATAGTATTTCTGATCCATACTTATAATCACGCCTGTAACCCTTGCGGGGTAGGCAGAGCATCAACGGATTACTTAATATCGTCTGCGAGGTTATCGCCTATTCTGTGAATTACAATGCACCAAAACGTTTGAAGAAAATCAGCTGGTGAATTTTATGTTTTTTATAGCTCTCTTCCCGGTCCTGCGTGGAAAAATACAGATCCATATATTTTTATCTTAATTTTGGTAAAAAGACATAAATAATCCAGATATTCTGACATATATCTGTGTTCGTTCATCGTACCGTCGTCCGTCTTGTAGAATCACAGTGGCGCCACCTAGCGGAATTTAATTTTGCAACATATTCGATTTTTCCACGAGAATGATATGTTTTTCCGCTGAAAAAATTAGCCTATGTCACCCTACAGCCACCGAACTATTCCCATACCGAAATTCATGCCATGCCGACGCTCTGTTGCATAAGTTTGTCCTTCTTTATATTCTATTTTCCCACGGGAATGAGATGTTTTTCCGCGGAAAAAAGTGCGACGTGAAAGAAGGACAAACAAACAAACAAACACGCTTTCGCATTTATAATATTAGTAAGTATGGATGAATGATGCATAAAATACACCGTTAGATACATGTAAATTTCTTAAAAATATACAATATGTAACGTAATTATCGCACACCCTCAGACACCCCAATTAGTATATTATGTTATAATCATAATACATACACTGAATTTTACTTAAACATTTTTATGCACTGATTATTTATCAAATTAGTTACATTAATTCCGGAAGAATGTTGTGGTCACAGTACAAATCAACGAACGCAAAGACTTTAAACTTGCTTGAAATAAAGTTCATTTTTCTTTATTTTTTTGAATGACAGAATCAGTAATAATACAAATAAAACTGCACTCTTAAAAGTCTTATTGCCTTTAGTTACGGTCTATTTCAGTTTGTTTTGACTGTACTGATTTAGTGTGACTGTAATTTACGTAGTTTTAATTATTTTTGGGATAAAAAATTACCTATATTAAAAATGATAGGAATCGATTCTGTAAACGATTCTGAACAAACTACTTCCAGGATGTGTGTTAATTATGTTACATGTTGTAAACATATATTTTACATGTCATTTACAACGCTAATCGCTTACGATAAATCCTTCAAGAGAGGAATGTGCCTAAGAAGGCTGGGAATCTAAGCAAAATGAATTCTGATAAGTAATTAGTTAATTACCTAACTAAAACTTGAAATAGCATACCTAAAGTTAGCGGCTAATTGCTATACTTTGGGCATGCATTAGATTTACTCCCTGATGATGAGAAGCAGATTTTCCGCTATTTAAAAAAATGTTATGGGCGAGCAAATTTCACCAAGGTTTTAATACTATAATGGTAAAAGTTTTCGTCAGAGTGCTATAGTTCTGGCAGGCAGGTGGGTGACGAGCAGATTTTGAAGATCTGGAGGTTTCTCCGCACTTACTGTCATCCATCGATAAAACCCCCATAAATCATTTTACCGTCGATGGCTACACGTGCCGCCTGTAGCCTCTCTGATTGAAAGACAGAGACAAAACTATAACACTACGTGCTTGACAAGGACAGCCTCAGAATACGTCCAGAATACGTTGAACCCTCACGTTTTTAGTGTTTTGAGATTATTAAATGTTGCACTTACTGTTGAAACGTGATTTTATCCTTTTTGAAATGTCGCCTTTCGTTACATCTCTCGTAGGCTGGGTGGTCTGTGTGAGACAGACCACCCATCCTACGAGAGATACACACGGAGAGAGCAATACACGGTAGACTAGAGGCTGTATGAGCGCAGATTCATTTGACTTTGTGTAAAAGTAACATGATTTGTCAATTTGTATTGTCTTGTCAACTTGTCATTGTATTGTCATTTGAAGTCCAGATTAGTCAAGATGGTGATGGTAGATAAATATCGTACAAAATTCATAATTTATATTTATCAATTCATTTTATTTTCATTAATTTCACCATGTTATTCAAATGATATTCTTGGCTGTGGAGGATTCGTTAAAAGTCATGTTAACTTAGATTATTCCAAAATAGAGATCGGCTTGTAAGTTAACCTCTTTTTGTAAATTATATTAAAGTTTTAAAACAAACTTTAATGTAATTAAAATAAATTGAATTAAATAGTCAAGTCCCGTCTTTTATAATATTACTAAAATAACAAGAAAATATCTTATAATTTTAGATACACTAAAGAAGGAATCCTTAGAGATAAGACTGAATGCGCTCCTACAAATGGATATTATTTTTTGCCGATGTACGAGCATGGGGAGTATATTCTTAAAATCCACCCTCCGGCTGGATGGAGTTTCGAACCTTCACTAGTAGAATTGCAAGTTGATGGTGAAAAAGATCAGTGTTCCATTGGGGAAGATATAAATTTTACTTTTAATGGTTTCGGTATTACGGGAAGAGTGATTACGGCGGGTCAGACAAGTGGCCCTAGTGGTATTGCAGTGCAGTTAGTAAATAATAATGGTGAAACAAGAGATACTGTCACTACAGCTGGTGGAGATTTTTATTTTACTCCTGTAATCCCTGGAAAGTATACACTGAAGGCATCCCATTCAAAGTAAGTATGAAGTCTTTCTATGCTATACTTTGGTTATTATTCCAACAAATAACTAACAAGTTTTGAAAACCTTATTCCATTTAATATATTATTCAGATTGTGTATAGGCGTCTGGTACTTGATTTTAATTATGTTATCAGTTTAGGAAGCTTGTCAATTTCACTAAAAATTGCACATAACTAAATGCAAATACAATGAACTCCAGCTAATCCGGCCCCTTTGTAATCCGACTTCAACCTTCCTTCCTTCCTTCAACTTGAAGGTTGTAGTGTTATGCTTACATACATACTTACATATCATTTTACACTATTTTATTTTTATTTTTCCATTCTGTTTTTGATTTTCTACATTCACCTCAAAACTGGATATTTTGCATCACCTTTATTTCCATAGGATCCTGTAATATTTTTAATTCATAAGAACACAATAACAAATCATTTTCACTTCGTATTTTCACGTTATCAGCACTTTTTAAATCGGTGTCAATGGAGTCTACCTTTTTCGATCTTTTATTTAGTTCTCCGTAACTCTACAATTTCGGGTTTCGTGCGCGCTCTTGCGCTACCTTTTTTCCTATATAAATAATATCTCATTTTTCACTTAAATCTTGCCGTTTCTGTATTACGAGCTTAAAACCAAAATTTGACATGTTTTGACATCGTTGTTTATCTGGTTGTCGTGGCAATTTTTATTCAAATATTGTTACCGGCCTGATGTTTTTACTTCAAAAATACTCTTTTCTTCTTGGCCATTTACAAAAATTTGCTTGTAATTTAAATAATTTCAAATAATTTCTCGTTCTTATCCCAGATCCGTCAAAAAGTATAAAAGCCGAAGAATCGGCCGATAGAGGTCCTCACTTCAGTTTTGATACGAGAAGCACCTCTTAAAGGCTTTATCCGCACTGCCTCGGGATCTTGCAAGCCTTCTCCTGAAGTCGTCGCCTAGCCACGCCTACGCCTCCACCTATTAGTGCCCGCGCTATCTTCGGCCGCTGAGCGTGCTTGTCTCAAGCGCTGCGTGTTCCTACTCCAGACGCTGCGTGTCTACTCCGGACGCTGTGTGTGTCTACTCCGGACGTTGTGTTTGCCTACTTCAAGCGCCACGTGTACCTACTCCAGACGCTGCGTGTCTACTCCGGGTGCTGCGTGTATCTGCTCCGGGCGTTGCGTGTGCCTACTCCAAGCGCTGCGTGTACCTTCTCCAGACGCTGCATGTGCTTTCTCCAGATTCTGCGTGTACCTAGAGCAGGCGCTGCGCACCTATCATAGGCATAGCCTGTGCATACTTCGTTGCAGTATCTTTATTTTTGTTATTTTTTTTAATAATATTGTAAATCACTATCATCATTACAGCCCATCATCACCTTCATACCTTTTTTTTATAAAAGAAACTGTAAATCTTTTCAAATTTTTAAATAATTTATTTTATTTTTGGTTGTTTTGTTGTAGTTAGGTTAGGTTATTTAGTTTTAAATTGTCGCTTCACGACAATTTGGCGCCCGACGTAAAAGTTCTTCTTTTCTTCACCTTAGCTACGCCTTATCCATTTCCTTTTGATTGAATTGCTTTCTCTTTCGTTCTTAACTCTTTATTTACTCATCCTTATCATATCTTCCAAATTCTAAAACAAAACTTCATCTAGTTTTTCAACTTATCTGGATTATATTTGGACCTGCATATAACACTTCACTTACATTCATCACTTTAATATTTTTATTCTAGATAACTTAAAGAGGTACAATTTTTAATTAAATTTTTATTTCTTATTCTTTATTTTATTTTATTACTTATTCTATTTGCACTTAACTAAAACAATGAAAAGGGTTATTGAGTACGAATTCCTTAATAAGGCCGAACTCGATTACGAAGTGAAGATTAGATGTGAGAAACCAGCTAATACTGTTTTGCATGATACTACATTTGTATATATGTTTGTATATTTGTATATTTGTATATATGTTTGTATATATGTATAATTGTTACCTGATTAATTTCTTTATCTTTATCTTCACTCAGGAGCGGATGACAACTCCTTAAATAAGCCTGAATGTTCTTTTAGTGATGTTGCTCATCTCTGGCTTTGAGCCCTACCGCTCTGGCCGTTCTTAATCTTTACTTAAGTCATAGCGACTAAAGCTTGCTTAAGATTAATTTCTTTATCTTTATCTTCACTTGGGAGCGGCTGAGTACTCCCTTAATAATTTTTTTTTCCACTCAGGAGCGGATGACAACTCCTTAAATAAGCCTGGATGTCCTTTCGAATTTTTTTTTCCACGCAGGAGCGGATGACAACTCCTTAAATAAGCCTGAATGTCCTTTCGAAAACACACTTTTAGAGTGGTAGTCATTGAATGTGAACTCCACCCTTACCTGAATGCAGATGATGAATGTAAGTGATAGTATATCTGATTTTGCCTGGTGATGTCTGTTACTGCAAAGCTGTGTTTTTATGGTTTATTTTGGAATGTACATCTCAAAATTTTTGCTGAGTCAAAAATTTTCCAGGGTCGGGGGGAAAATGTAGTGTTATGCTTACATACATACTTACATATCATTTTACACTATTTTATTTTTATTTTTCCATTCTGTTTTTGATTTTCTACATTCACCTCAAAACTGGATATTTTGCATCACCTTTATTTCCATAGGATCCTGTAATATTTTTAATTCATAAGAACACAATAACAAATCATTTTCACTTCGTATTTTCACGTTATCAGCACTTTTTAAATCGGTGTCAATGGAGTCTACCTTTTTCGATCTTTTATTTAGTTCTCCGTAACTCTACAATTTCGGGTTTCGTGCGCGCTCTTGCGCTACCTTTTTTCCTATATAAATAATATCTCATTTTTCACTTAAATCTTGCCGTTTCTGTATTACGAGCTTAAAACCAAAATTTGACATGTTTTGACATCGTTGTTTATCTGGTTGTCGTGGCAATTTTTATTCAAATATTGTTACCGGCCTGATGTTTTTACTTCAAAAATACTCTTTTCTTCTTGGCCATTTACAAAAATTTGCTTTTAATTTAAATAATTTCAAATAATTTCTCGTTCTTATCCCAGATCCGTCAAAAAGTATAAAAGCCGAAGAATCGGCCGATAGAGGTCCTCACTTCAGTTTTGATACGAGAAGCACCTCTTAAAGGCTTTATCCGCACTGCCTCGGGATCTTGCAAGCCTTCTCCTGAAGTCGTCGCCTAGCCACGCCTACGCCTCCACCTATAAGTGCCCGCGCTATCTTCGGCCGCTGAGCGTGCTTGTCTCAAGCGCTGCGTGTTCCTACTCCAGACGCTGCGTGTCTACTCCGGACGCTGTGTGTGTCTACTCCGGACGTTGTGTTTGCCTACTTCAAGCGCCACGTGTACCTACTCCAGACGCTGCGTGTCTACTCCGGGTGCTGCGTGTATCTGCTCCGGGCGTTGCGTGTGCCTACTCCAAGCGCTGCGTGTACCTTCTCCAGACGCTGCATGTGCTTTCTCCAGATTCTGCGTGTACCTAGAGCAGGCGCTGCGCACCTATCATAGGCATAGCCTGTGCATACTTCGTTGCAGTATCTTTATTTTTGTTATTTTTTTTAATAATATTGTAAATCACTATCATCATTACAGCCCATCATCACCTTCATACCTTTTTTTATAAAAGAAACTGTAAATCTTTTCAAATTTTTAAATAATTTATTTTATTTTTGGTTGTTTTGTTGTAGTTAGGTTAGGTTATTTAGTTTTAAATTGTCGCTTTACGACAAGGTAGATTCGAGTTGCGCTATGAATCCACTGCAGGGGAGGTGTCGTTTGCGAATAATATGTGGACAAACAGGTTGCAATTAGTTCGCACCTCTACGAACCTAGCTTCATGCGTAATGTCTTAGTTCAAATGTGACTATAGTTTTGGCCTAGCGGGCAGCATTCATTATTTACCATTTAGGTATTCATTGTGCATCACATGACATTTTTATTTTTTTTATTATTTTATATTTGATTTGTAATCTGTCTGATTACAAGATACTCTTTTCCAAAAAGTTCCGTACTACCAGGAGGCTGTGGCAGTACTCTATAGTCTGACAAATTCGATAATCAGACACCACCTTGCAAATTTTGTTGGATTACTGCGGGTCAATTGTTTGTCAATTTGTTTTTTTTTGACATGGGTACAGCTATACATGTATGTATAAAAGTTATTCACTGGAACCCAGATAATCAATTTGTGGCTGAAGATGGGGCAGTAAAACAATAGACATCTGAGACTTGTGTAGTAGCACTGAGAGAGGTTGGTGCAGGAGAAGCCCCCTACCATTTCCCCCTTGCAGAAATGTATAGTTTATACATTTACGCAAGGGGGAAACATTTGCCATAGTTGCCACACTTAGCTTGGTAGTTTAGCGATAAAATCCGTAAATAATAGTTTTATTCAATGTGTAGTGTTCGCGTAAATTTAAGAAATCATTATTGGTAGTTTAAATTATTTACTAGTTTTTATTATAATAATAATAATAATAATAATAATAATAATAACATCGGTATCGATGAGGCTGGTGTGAAACAGTCAGTTTGCGACGTGTTTTATGCACGCTTGACCAAAGTGCTTAACAGCCTTTTGTCCGGTGTGAATAAGACACACGCATATAACGGTTGGGTCATGCCTGTCCTCATATATACCTTTGGCATACTCAGGTGGACTCAGACCGAACTTAACGCCCTGGATAGAAAAGTCCGCACTACCATGACGTCCCATAGGATGCATCATCCGAGATCGTCGGTAATGAGGCTGTACTTGCCGCGAAAGCATGGTGGGCGTGGTTTTATGAGCGCGCTCACCATGCATAATCGCGAAGTGTGCAGCCTCCGTGATTACTTCCTGGCGAGATCGGATGATCCATTCTATAATGACGTCATTTCTAGTGATAAAGGGCTTACCCCTCTATCCTTAGCCCACGAGCAATGGCAGGACCCAGCAGTGCTTAGCATTTCCGACCGGGAGACCGTATGGAAGGAGAAGGAGCTCCACGGGAGGTACTACAGGGCTCTTCATGAGCCCTTCGTAGATACAGTCGCCTCCCTCAACTGGCTACGTTTCGGTGACCTCTTCGGGGAAACCGAGGGTTTTGTCTGTGCAATACAGGATCAGGTTATTAAGACCAACAACTATCGGAGATACATCCTAAAGGATGGCACCGTCGACGTCTGTCGAGCTTGTCGCCATCCCGGTGAATCACTTAGGCATGTTATCTCCGGTTGTTCGGCGCTTTCTAACTCTGAGTACTTGCACAGGCACAACCTAGTAGCCAGAATTCTACACCAGGAGCTCGCTCTGAAATATGGTCTCGTGGACCGGAAATTGCCGTATTACAAGTACTTGCCGGAAGCCGTGCTCGAAAATGACCGCGCCAGGCTCTACTGGGACCGGGCCATCATCACAGACAGGACTATTCTTGCGAATAAGCCTGATATTGTGCTGATGGACCGGGCACAGTCAAGGATATTTTTGGTCGACATTACCATTCCGTATGACGAGAACCTCGTGAAAGCCGAAACAGACAAGCAAACAAAATATCTGGACCTGGCTCACGAGGTGACCGACATGTGGGGTGGTCTGCCGACCGAAATTATTCCTGTAGTCGTCTCTGCAAACGGGCTAATCCCAGTCAGCCTCTCGGGTCATCTGAGGCGACTGGGACTACGTGGCGGACCGCTCCGGGCTCAAATTCAGAAGGCGGTGCTCCTCGATACCGCCCGCATCGTCCGCCGGTTTCTTTCCCTTTCCCCCTAACCCTCGGCCGTTTGGTCTCCCCTGCCGAGGGCCTCCATCTGGTTGGGCTTTTATTTATTTAAGTATTTTTATATTTATTTTATGTTATTGATATTTATGTATATTTATCTTTTCATTCTCATTTATAATTATATATTTATAGAACCCAACCAGATGAGAAAACTATATAGATACCCCACAATAATAATAATAATAATAATTTATTTTTCTCTCCACATTAAATTAACAATATCGAATTTTAACAAAAAAAGGCACAAATTAATGTGAGAGACTGATGCCTAAACTAGGCGACGAGCCTGTATTTCAGGTCATCAGGTCTCCCTCCCAGTTAAACAAATACAAAAGTATGTTATCTTGGAATACATATTTTAACAATAATGATACGTTATAATACATTTGCGCGTATATACATAATTTAACAATAATGCTACGTGTGTGTGTGTGTGTGTGTGTGTGTGTGTGTGTGTGTGTGTGTGTGTGTGTGTGTGTGTGCGTGCGTGTGCGTGTGCGTGTGCTGAGTGAATGCAAAAATTACAACATTTACACATGTGATTTAAAAATATCTTCCGTATATTTATAGTCCGTCTTCAGTAACCATTCATGGATACATTTTTTAGCTTTTATTTTAGGTAGTAAGTGAATATTAAGTTCCTTGTTAACTTTATTATACAGGTATCCGCCAAGATAGCAAAAAAATCTTCTGGAAAAGTAGGTACAATGGTCATAATGAGAAGTACACACTCGGTCTTTGCGTCTCGTGTGCTGTGTATTTTTTTTGGTCATATTTTAATTGTGCATGTTTTTTTAGTACTGTGTATATAATAAACAGTTGCCGGACTGTAAGAACTTTGGAAATTTTATAAAGTTGACTGGTTGGAAATTTAAATGGAAGAGAGTTACTTACTTTTAAGATTAACCTTTGTGATCTTTCGAGGGGTAGAAGAGATGATTTGGTAGCCCCACCCCAGCACGTAATACAATATATTATTAAAGATTGGCATAGAGCAAAATAGACAGATTTAATAGTGTTAGAATCTGCTACGCAACGGAGTTTTTTAAAAATATATGTTAATTTCCGTATCCTATTTGAAAGTGAATAAATATGCTCATGAAAAGTTAGCTTATCATCCAACAAAATGCCAAGGTATTTAATTGAATTCACTTTTTGCAAAGGTGTGCATGAACATGTCAGACAATAAGGATTTGCAAAGGTGTGAAGAATTATAGTAACATTACACGATTTTTCTAACCATTATTTATAGATATGGATAAAAGTAATAAAAAATATTAATTATAGATGGAAGCTTGAACCATCTCAAGCAGTAGTACAAGTAAGGGAAGGCAACACTGCCCTGCCGATTGGTGTGTTGGCAGTCAGGGGATATGAAGTCACTGGTTCTGTTACATCATTTAGTAGTCCTATTGGTGGTATATATGTGCTGCTGTACTCTAAGGAGGTAAAAAGGCTTTTATTCTTTGCTACACTATGTCTTATTACTAATTATTAAATTAATTAATTTGTTCTTTCTACTCAGTTTGAAGTCACTCTTTCCTTTCTTTAAAAGTTTAGTTTTTTACCTCTTAATGATGATGTTAATGTGTATGAATATTTTAATAGATCAATAAACACAAAAAAAAACGAATACTTGGAGAGTGATTATACAACTTGGCCAAAACAATTAGGCACATGATAAGAATGCGGTTTCGGCATCTGCACCCTGTCTTATTATTCCCCTGGTGACCAATCATCATTCCGGTGTTCCCTCCCTAATTCTAATGATGTCTAAGTTGTCATGCGTCTAATTGTTTTGGTCACATAGTAAAAGTTTACTTATTCTATATGACACTAATGCCGTTATCTAAAAGGGTCCTCAAAAAAAGCTTTAATATAAGTAAATAATTGTATAATAATACTATTGTTTGTATTAAAGTTTGATTTTTTATTATTATTTTAGATTGCCACATAAAAGGTATATTTGCCATACATTTTTATATGTGGTAGAGCCACGTTGCAGCTATATTATGGTTGTAGCATGAATGGGTTGGCTTGACCAGGGAAGGACCACACTATCACAGAATACCGACATAAAATAGCAGCTTAATACTGCTGTGTTTCGTACAGTGAGTGTAGAGATCCGGAGACCCTTTTTTACTGGAAATGAGGTATTCCATCTAAGTCCTCAGGGGTGGCAACGCATCTACATTTTGATTCTTAATCGAGGATAAATGTAGATGTCTATAGGCCACAGTATCCACTTAGCATCAGGTGAATTGTGTGCTTGTTTGTCACTGTTATTATTAGATTTTCTGTAATCATAATTTTAAAAATAAATGTAAAAAGATAATTATTTTATATAACATTTGTCCTAGAAAGCAATAGCTTCTATAATAAGATACAAATATTTATATTTTCAGGAGAATCCTAAATTCCGTGTCGAAGGATGCAAGACAGCCCTTTTACAAGGTGTACCGGACTCACCAATATGTTATTCAGTCACTGATGCATCTGGAGAATTTCAATTTGGCCTTGTGCCTGCTGGGGAGTACAAACTGCTTGCATTGTCTAAACCACCAGGGCAGGCAGTGATCCGTTACAATATCAAACCTGAAACTGTACCTTTTAGTGTCAAACATGATGATATTTACATTAGAAATGCTTTCGAAGTAAGTGACTCTGGCATAAGTTGTAACTTTTTTACGGTTATGTTAATATGTGTAATTTTTACGTGGCAGAGCCATGTTGCAGCTATATTATGATTGTAACATGAATGGGTTGACTTGACCTGGAAAGGACTACTCTCATAGAATATGAGCCTAGAATGGCAGCTTCTTGCTACTGTGTTTCGTATGGTGAGTGTAGAGAACCAGATACCCTTTATACTAGAAACCAGGCATTCCATGTTAATTTTCAGGCATGACAATGATATGCATTTTGATTCTTGAGTCCTCCATATTCCATGAGGTGGATTGTGTGCTTGATTGTCACCTTTATTCTATATTTTAAAAAAACTAAAATTTTGAGTTGCAGTATTCTAAGTGTTCAGATCCTTATTGTTTAAAGAATATATTAGTGATTGTATTATTATCATTATGTATTTATAAGACAACCCAACTAAGCTTAAATCCTTGTGACTAAATGTGATTTTTGAAAGTAAACATTTCATATAAAAAATTAGCTACATTCAAGACTTTGAAACTCTTATTTAATTAATATTAAAATGACAATAGAAGTTGCGTGTATATAATTATGTGGCTTCTTAAGACACTTGTTGGCAGCCAAAGACACTTGTAAATTACAAGTTGTAATCAACTTTAAATGAAGAAGACTAGAGATGTGTAGTCACCTAGACTAAGTTGCAATGACTCATAGGCTGTCATTGTATTGGCTTTCTCTTGGTGGCAGATATAGGTAAGAAAGTGACACATAACTAGACAGACTCGTAGGAAAAGGGGAATCCTTCAACCTAATAATGGTTGAAATATATATGGAATTAATGTGAATAGTTAACTAACTTGCATTATAGTTGCAACATGAATGGGTCGGCTCATCTTACCACCTAGAAAAATTTACAAAATGTAAGTCTATTTTTACATAATCATAATCATAAACACTCACGCCTGTCACCCAGAGGGGTAGGCAGAGACTACGGACTTCCATTTGACACGATCCTGACATACCTCTTTCGCCTCCTTTACACCCATATATCTACGCAAATATGCTCGTCGGTTAAGGGTACTTTTAACGTGGCCCATTTTCAAAATATCGCCAATTTGGTCGATAAACTTTTTTCTAGGGCGTCCCTTCCCGACTCTGCCGTTCACATCTGCCATATAAATTTGCTTTGTCACTCTTTCCTCATTCATTCTTTCTACGTGACCAAACCACCGAAGCATTCCTTTCTTAATCCTGGTCACAACATCATCTTGCATACCATATTTATCTCTTATCCCGCAATTTCTCACCCTGTCATTCAGATTCAACCCTAACATACTCCTTAAAGACCGCATTTCTACAGCATTTATTCTACTTTCGTGCTTCTTCTGCCACACCCAGCTTTCACTACCATACATTAAAGTAGGGACTAACACAGCATTATGAATTACCATACGTGCCTTTTTTGATACATTCTGGTTCTTCACAATAGAGTGTAGTGCCCCATTCACTCTATTCCCTTCATTTACTCGTCGTTCTATATCCTTATCATATCTACCATCACTGCTAAATACACATCCCAAATACACAAACTCATCCACTTGCTCAATTAACTCTCCTTTTATTCTTATTTCACATACCGTTTTGCTTTCCTCTCTTTCAAAAACCATCACTTTCGTCTTACTTGCGTTCACTTTCATTCTCCTTTCTTTTAATGCCCAGTTCATTAATGTGACCATCATTTGCAACTCAGCCGCCGACGACCCAAATATGACTTGATCATCGGCATATAAAAGGCATTTGACGGTTAACTCGCCCATTCTTAACCCACATTCTTCATCTTTCAAAGTTTGCAAACACCTGTCCATAAATAGGTTGAACAGCCAAGGGGAGGCCACACAGCCCTGTCTGACACCTTTTCGGATGCCAAACCAGTCCGAGTAGACCCCATTGATCCTGACACAAGCACTAGAATCCCTATAAAGAGACCTCAATGCCTGTATCAAACCAGCGCTCAACCCATATGAGTTCAGTGTTTTCCATAACACATTCCTGTCCACTCTGTCATAAGCCTTTTCCAAGTCCATGAACGCACAAAAAACTTTCTGGTTTTTAGCCAAAAACTTCTCCGCAATCATGCACATGGAAAAGACTTGATCTGTACACCCCATACCCTTTCGAAAACCTGCTTGCAATTTTTGCAAAAATTTTTCCAACAGTTTCTTTCATAACTCTTTCAATTAATACCTTAGCATACAGTTTACCCACAATACTAAGCAAGCTGATACCACGGTAGTTTTTGCAGTCCTGCTGTGACCCTTTTCCTTTATATATTGGTACTATAACTGCTTTACACCAGTCATCCGGTACCCGTTTTAATTCCCAACACAAATTAAACAAGGTGTACAGCCGGCCTGCCACCACTCCCTCTCCAGCCCTTAGCATCTCGGGTGATACTCTATCATATCCACCTGCCTTACCTGCTTTTATGCTTTTCATTGCTTTCATTATTTCATCTACACTTATCTCCATACCCCTTTCCACTTCTTTCGGAATTTCTTGTTCATTTAATTCGGACGACTCTTCACTCATAAACACACTTTCAAAGTATTCCTTCCATCTGTTTAAATTCGAAACTTCATCATTCAGAATACATCCATTCTCGTCTCTTATAGCATAAATTATAGGCTGTTTTGTATTTCCCCTGGCAGTTCTTACGAGTTTCCAGAAAATTTTTATATTAGCCTGGAAATTGTTTCTACAATCTTATATATTAAATTATTTCTACAATCTTATAAATTATCTATTTTTACAATCTTACATTAACAGGTTTTATGGTTACAAAAGTAAATGTGTAAGTAATGAAGTTGATTCCTTTTTCTTATATCCTTTTCCCAACCTTGACATAAAAAAATTTCTACATTCTTAAACTTAAATGAAAATTTGTTAATTTTAGGTAAATGGTTTTACCATTGTCGGATCAGTCTTAAATGCGCCAGCAGGTGAAGGAATACCAGGTGTACATGTACTATCAGATGGGACTCCAATTGGCACAACGGATTCAACTGGCAAATTCACATTACCATCCTTGCGACCTGGAGTATACACCCTTAGCTTCAAACATGGTGAGTCTTTATATAAAGAATAAAGAATTTTAAATATATATACCAGATTATGTTATTATGGGTGCGGTTTGTGATAGGTGAGGTTATGATACAGGTTAATTTTCATCATCAAACCATATCTCAAACTTTGGTAGTCATGAGAGGCAACTTAACAATATAGCTCATGTAGTATTTGTATATGCTATGCATGAGTGGCTGCTGTATACCTCATCTCTGTCTTTTTTATTTTTGGTAAGTGTAAGCACAGTGATCGCTACTTGTGCTAGAAAGATGTTGCTAAAATCCTCGTTTATTCTTGCTCTATCAACACTGCATGTTAGGTTGGGAGAAGTTTGCTGTGAAAGTGTCATCTCAGTAATATACCAATTTTTTAAAGGCATTAAATTTTTTGATGAAAGCCACCTTAATACCTTTTACAAAAAGTGCCAAGACAGACCTAAGCCTTCCTACGCGTATGATTCAGCTGATCAACTATTCTTAAGATCAAGTTTGGTTTAGTGAGTCAGTTATAGCACAAATGGGTCGGCTTGACCAGGGTAGAACCACACTCTCACAGACTAGTGTAAATAGCTGCTTAATGCTGTTGTTTTACGTATAGTGAGTATAGATAACCTGAGACCCTTTTTTACTGGAAATGAGGCATTCCATCTTAGTCCTCAAGATTGACAACGCATCTGCGTTTTGATTCTTAATTGGGGATAAATGTAGATGTCTATGGGCCACAGCATCCACTTACCATCGGGGAGACTTTGTGCTCATTTGTCATAGAATATTATATACATAGAAATATGTTATATGTTGTCATAGTTTGTTATAAAATGTATAAAAAAAATTATACAGTTGTAATAAAATAATTTTAAATTTCATTTTTTTCATAGAGCAATGTGAGGTAGACGATCTACAGCTAACAGTGGGAGCTACTGGTCCGCAAAGCGCTGTAAGGGCGGTGGTATCTCGTTGGCGCGTGTGTGGGGACATCTCACCGCCCGAACAACGCCGAATTGTGCTCTCTACTGGAGACTCGGCTCCCGTATATGTCACTCCAAATACTGATGGTGAGTAGCAATGATAATGAGCTTATTTTTTAAAAACCGCAGCAATAAAAATTTAAGAAAAGGGCGGAACAAACAAATGAAGTGACTCTGAAACCAAGGCAAACATGCTATGTAGGAACTTGCACTTACTGTTATGTGGTAGCCCATATAAAATTTGTATTTAATAAGTCGCATGCGCGCACCCGTACGAGTTGGGCGCGTCAACTTTTAATGAGCGTTAACAAGCGCATTTTAATAAATATGAGGAACATAGTGAAGTGCAATAAATGTAACATCGTCATTGACGAGATGTTGTCATATATACAAAATAAAATATCGATTGCAGACGAGGAAAGTCTAGTGCGTATTTGTAAGTCGGCATTTACAAGTGAGGATATCAAGAACTCCAAGACACTTGTTTGAGTCTATCCCAACGGACAAAAGAAAAATATTATGAAAGAATAAAGGGAAAGAAGAGCGTGACATAGCAGATATTATAAACTTATTTAAAACTACGGAGCCCGACCTTATCCCAGTTTTTGTGGCAAGACAGTTAGATAAACTGCCACCAATCGTATGGGATCATTTGGACTGTTCTTAACTGTTGAAGGACATGATAACAATGAAGACTGAAATCGAAGGCATAAAGTCGACTTATGCTACGCTAGAGTGTGTAAATAAACTAAGAATGGAAGTCTATCAGCTAAAAACCGATTCCCCACCGCCGGCGTCAGCTTTCAAAATGAACATGAAATGAGGTGCGTGGCTAGACAGTGGATTAGATAAGTACAAGAAACATAAATGAATCATTGATCATAAAATCGCCTTCGACGCAATCTGAAAAATTGAGGGTAGAACGACATAAGCAAACAGAAAATAAACTAAACGACCGGCAACGTCTGTCGGTGGAACGGGCTCAGGCAAGCGCTCGTGCAGGCTGAGTTGAGGGAGGAGTAAGGCCAATAGTGAATCAGGAGGCGAACACTCGAAGCGGTCCGGCAGTGACGTTACACTCATCGAGTACAAATCTACAGCTAAATATATATATAGCGGAGCAGCTGACCACTACTGATAAGGCAGGCGATAGATGCGCGTTAGAAACGTGTGAACCGGAGCGCTCGCAAAATATTAACAGTGAAGACTGGCAAAAAGTTGCATATCGTAAAAAACAAAACAAATATCGTTACGTAGGAAAGTCGGGCATAACAAGATACCTAGAATGCACCTTCAGAGCTGCCGATAGGAAAATTCCTATGTTCATTACGAATTTGCATGTCTTTGCAACAGAAAAAGACATAACTAACCATATCTATAATAAGACAAAGGAAATAGTGAATCTAGAGAAAATAAATATGAAAGTGGAAAGAGGACACAAGGCATATAAAATTTTAATATCTGAGGTTAATTTATCGAAATACATGGACGAAACGCTATGGCCCGAAGGTGTCATATTCCGACGTTTTGTAAACTTTAAGTACAGGAAAACGAACGTTGCAGGTTCTACCAGCGTAGACGGTCAAAATAAACCCAATAATGGATAGTTCACCATTTAGCTTTGCCACATTTAATTGCAAAAATATAAAACGATCAATAGACGATGTCCGAGAACTCTGCCGATCATGTGATGTGGTGTGTCTTCAGGAAACTTGGCTAATGTCACACGACATACCCTACATCGGCACCATTGACAGCGGTTTCGGATATACGGCAACATCGGCGATGGATATGTCTGCGGGCATCCTTAGAGGACGTCCGTTTGTGGGGACTGCAGTGTTATGGTGATATAGTGCGTTTCAACAGGAGTCAATATTACAGTGCGATAATAGCCGTATTTGTGGTATAAAAATTACAACGTGTGATAGACCTGTGATCATAATGAGTGTTTATATGCTAACAAATTCAGTAGAAAATTTACCAGAATTTATAGACTGTTTGAGTATGGTCAGTGCGATTGTTGACGAATATGGAATTGATGCTGTATTTATTTTGGGAGACTTTAATGCGGACCCGGGTGAGTTGTTTTACAGTGAACTTATTAATTTTTGTAATGACTATGGTCGTGTATAGACACAGAGATATTAGGGTTAAACACGGGCACTTTCACTTTTATTAGTGATGTGTTTGGGACATGCAGCTGGCTGGATCACTGCATTGCTACTCAGTCGGCAAAGCAGTCTGTGATTAATGTTGATGTAATATATGACACTCAATGTTCGGACCACTTTCCCCTTATTAATATAAATGCATTAAAATTACTAACCCCTAAAATATTACCTAAAATTATGAATCCAAATAAAGATATATTATGGGGTGAAAGAAGTGTTAAACAAATCTCTATGTATACCAGTGAGTGTCATAAGAGGCTAAGATTGATTGACTTTCCTTCGGATTGTGTGAGCTGTGCTGATTATGCTTGTAATGACCGTGTGGCCACTGGCATACTCTAGATAAGCTTTACGCCGACATTGTGACCGCCCTTCGTAACGCAGCGGTGGTAAGTCGGGGAAGCATGAAATTGGGGGGGAGTGGCTCGCGCATAGTAGGTTGGAACCAGCACGTCAGCGCTGCTCGTAGGGAGGCTAGGCAAAGTTATACGAATGGGTGATGTGCGGAAAGCCAAAATCGGGTCCTGTTTACCGAGAAATGTGCGAAAGCAGACGAGTTTTCAAGTCCAGATTAAAGTGGTGCCAAGACCACCAAGAACAAATAAAAATGGACTCTCTTGCGGAAAAGCATTCAAAGGGTAACTTTAAGGGCTTCTGGAAAAACACTAGTAAAATTAATGTACGGCCTGGCCTCCCTGTGAGCGCCGATGGTGTGAACGACATTGCAAATGTCTTTAGGGACAACTTTTCTGTGAAATCGCCACTGGGCCCCGCCGGGGGTGTGATCAATAACATAAGTAGTACTAACACTACATAACATAACATATATAAGTATACTCCTATTATAATACTACTACATACTACTAATATAACTGCAGCATGGCTCTACTACGTATAAAAATGTTTTAATGAACTAGTACATGATGCACAAAAAAGTGCAAAATCGGACTTTAATTCTGGCATATTTTTGGAGCATAAGAAGTGGGTTCTTTAAAAATATATATCCATAGTATATTTTTTATTTCAGGAAGAGATATATTTATTTTAAATTATATTATTTCGTAGATATTATTTGTGTTAAAGGAAATATGTTGATTATTTTGGTAATTGGAAATGTAATATAACCGCTGCGCAACTCGCGGAGCATATGAACGGCTTTGTCACTCGACACTATTATGGTGCATTGAGTATTGTTTACAAAAAACGTTATTTTAGACTCTACATCGGCACGAGTGACCCTTGAATAGTTTTATGGCTTTTAAGGGAATGAATGAATCTTTAAGCTCAGATAGTTAGCTCCCGTTAAATTTCACAGTACGCTCGCAAACCGGGTGCGATCCCCGCTGACATCAATGAAATTGTTAATTGCAATTTTAAGTGCTGATCTACCACGTGCTAGGTGGTGAAGGAAAACATCGTGAGGAAGTCGGACTGTGAGAAATAAGAAAAAAATATTTCGAAGACATGTGAAGTTCGCCAACACGCATAGGGGTAGCGCGCAGCGGGGGCTTCTTTGCCCTAAAACCCTCTCAGAAGGCCCAGCAGTGGGACATAAATAGGCTGTAACTTAACTATTTCAACGATGATAGTCTGAAATAATTAGCTGAATAAATTATAGCTAGGCAACAATAAAAACTAAATGGGGTAAAGTATAAAATTAATAAAGATATAACATGGCTCCTCATTTCTTTAAAAGGCTCCTGGTACTTGTTGGATTTACTGTATCTACAGTACTATTCATTTACGAATGGTACTGTAGGTAGCAGCAATCTTGCTCTAGGTTGAAACATAACGCAACGTTACACGATTTGCAAAACTGAAACGTACGTAAAAAGTAAATCAAAAGAATTATTTTTTTTTAAATTCTTTTTGATGTATGAATTTTGCAAAGTAGATACATGTACAAAAAACCGATATAAGGAATATGTGTCTGAGGTGACCTTAAGAATCACAACCTGTTTATATCAGAATAAAAAAAATCAAATATTAAATATTAAAAAGCATATGTAAATACTTTCTACTTTTCTGTTTTAATAAATTGTTTAAAAAACTCGGAAGTCTTGTGTTAACATATATGGCATATCCAAATGCCACATCAAATTTTTATAAATCATCGAATGAGATTGGAGTCAACCAAGCACCATTTGTCTGCTCGAAGGGTTTATTTTTCTCCCCCCCCCCAAAATAGCAAAACTGGAGTTTTTTGATATAAAACCCACTTATTAAAAAAAAAAAAAACCTGACTCAAGAAAAAAGCAGTTAGTTTGGACGCACACCCCACAATCGCACTGATGGCTGACTCAAGGGATGGGCATGGTATACATAAAAAATCCTACTAAAGTGTATAAGCTGTGGGGTTTTTATGCTAACTTTTTTTTATCCTGCACATATCGACATATGGTAGAATGAGTTAGACATAGTGTTAATCAGTAGAGTTAGTTAAAGTTTAATCAGTGTCATTTAATGTGAGATATTCGCATAAATATGAGAAAAGCATTTTGGTTGATGAAGATGATATTACTTAATGAGGGCTTATAGTCTTACGCTCACCAGATGTCGCAAGTTGGGACTACGGTTATCTTATTTGTTAAACAGATGGTCACACAGTGTTATTATCATTGGAAAGTTGCAATTTAATTTTATGTTTTTTCGATTTCTAGTGATTGTACCTATGTTTTTTTTCATAGGTGGGTGACAAACGAGCACACAGTCCACCTGATGGTAAATGGTTGCTGTAGCCCATAGACATTTACATCTATCCTCGATTACGAATCAAAATGCAGATGCGTTGTCACCCGTGAGGACTAAGATGGAATGCCTCGTTTCCAGTAAAAAGGGTCTCCAGTTCTCTACACTCACCATACGAAACACAGCAGCATTAAGCTACTATTTTACGCTGGTATTCTGTGGGAGCGTGGTCCTTCCCCGGTCGAGCCGACCCTAACTATACTTCTAATATAACTGCAGCAAGGCTCTACCACATAGATACACACAAAACAACCCCCTAGTGCTGTATTCTTTAATTTTTTCCACATTTTTAACCTTTATTAATTCTTCTACTTTTAGGAATTTCTGTAAGTTTCAAAAATAAACATAAATCTCTAGACTTTTATAGAAAATTATCTTTCCCCGCTATAAATCTGTTAAATATTTTACCTCAATCCTAAGTGGCTCCGCCCTGGTGGCAGAAAAATTCGTGGGTGGTGTTTTTCAGGCTCTCATTGGTTACTTGTGTTAGGTTAGAGTTGTTGTAAGATTGTGTTTTAGCATAGACTATTTCTCCGGTATTTTTGCTTATTCTTAAATTTAGTATGTATACATGACTGCCTCACTGGTCTAGTGGTCGCAAACACGATTACTGATCATGAGGTGTCCGGTTAGAATTCCAGGTTTTAATCCAAAATTATCGATTGAGTTTGTCAGTAGCAGCCCGGAGTCGTGAAGTTGGCAGTGTTTCACTCCTTTGCCTCGGAAAGCACATAAAGCCGTTGGTCTTGCACCGGATTTCTCTCCGGTCGTGTCTGATTACTGTCCCATCGGATTATAAGATTGAGGGTATAGAGAGCACTCTATACCATGCAAGTGTACATACCTGTGCTTGTGCATACACTGGAAATTATAATCCTGTATGCACATGGATAGGCTCCGTTGAGAGACTGGCCGCTGTGACCAAAATGCAGTCTGTAGGAAATTGTTATTATTATGGCTGCAACAAAAATATTGTTTAACTTGTTTAAAGAAGTTGTGAATATAAAAAATAAATATTGTGAATATTATACCATATTTTTAATGTATAAATGATGTATTATAGGTAACTGGTGTACATTTTTACCACCTGGTACATATACGGCTAAGGTTGAAGTTTCTGAAGAGGAGATGAGAGACGGACTTCAGTAAGTAAAAATATTAATTAAATTAATTTGGATTTATTTCCCGTGTAGTGGTGGGTAGGAGTATCCACTATCAAATATCTTCCACTGGGTGTCGTAAGAGGCGACAGAGGGAAACTGAGGCAGAAGATGAACAGCAGCATCTTTCTGATAACAGCAAACAGCAATAAAAACTGCGGTTGGCAACCCACTCACCAAGCGTGGCCACTATGGCAATATACTTCCCATGAGCAACGACACAAATAAACTGCAACCAGTCCATTCCTGGCATGGTAGCGACCATGGTAACGGCGGGGCAGAGGGTGCTAAGAATCTTCGTTGGAGGTTCGACTGCCACGTCAGACGACTCGTCCTGGCAACATATAACGCACGCACCCTGAGGAATGACGGGAAGATCCTGGATTTGGAAGAAGAGTTAGACAAGTTGTGCTGGGATATTATAGGATTATGTGGGCTCCGAAGAGAGGGGGAGGACACGGTAATCTTCGAATCCGGCAATTTGTTCTATCACCGGGAGGGCGACCATTTTTCCCAAGGAGGTGTCGAATTTATCGTCCACAAGTCTCACAAGTTAATAACGTTGTAAAGATTGGGAGTGTGTCGACGAGGGTTGCGTACCTTATACTCAAAATCACCTAACGGTATTCGCTGAAGGTCATACAGGTTTACGCACCAACTTCGGTACATCCCGATGAGATGAAGCAAATGTATAAGGATATCTCTAGAGCCATGCATTCCTCTGAAACCCATTATACGGTGGTAATGGGAGACTTCAATGCAAAACTAGGTACAAGAGTACGGTGAGCTGAAATTAGGGAAATTCAGAATAGGGCAACGAAAGCCAAGGGGCCAGCAGCTAGCCGACTCTATGGAGAAAGAGGGATTCTTTATGATGAACTCTTTCTTCCAAAAGCGAACCCACAGAAAGTGGACAAAAAATGAGATTGACTACGTTATGACGACCAGACGATAACTGTCCAGTTATGTCTTAGTGATCGCGAGAGTGAAAACTGGCAGCGATCATCGAATGGTGAGATGCACACTGAACCTAAACATGAAGTTGGAGAGGTCACGTCTAATGAAGTCAGCGCTCCGTTCCCCTCGTACTCTAATCTATAGCCCCGAAAACTTTCAACTCCAATTACAAAATCGTTTTCCGTGCCTAGAAAACTGCAATGAAGTGGACGATATAAATGACAAGCTTATGGAACTGTCCATGCGGTCGGAGTTAAGTTCTGTAAGACCCCTTGCAGAAGAACACAAAAACTCTCCAATCACAGTCTTAATCTCATGGCTGTTAGACGGGATATGAAGCTGCAGTCGTCAGCAGATTTGACAGCATACAGGCAACTGAACAGACAGATCTCCAAATGCATGCGGCAGGACTTACGCAACTTTAATACAACTCGTATTGAAGAAGCGATTGAGCGGAACCAGGGCTTCAAAGTATTTGCTAGAGATCTGTCTGCCAGAAAGAGCCAACTGTCGAAGCTGAAGACCGACTGTGCCAGAATCCGGAACACCTCAGATTCTGAGTGAGATTGAGAGGTTCTATGGGCAGCTATACACGTAATCCTGAAACCACACGCAAGTGTGTGTAACAATCCAAGAGAAAGTCTTATTCGACACTATTCCGATGATATCCCGGACGTCAGTCTGAGTGAGATTAGAACGGCTCTCCAGCACTATAAAAATAGCAAGTCCCCGGGCGAGGATAGCGGAGCTTCTGAATGCGGGTGGAAAACCGATACTTAAAGTTCTTTAGAAGCTCTTCAATTCCGTTTTCCATGGTGGCACTACTCTGGAGGCGTGGAGCAGAAGTGCGGTGGTCTTGTTCTTCAAGAAAGGCGACAGCGCTCTCTTGAAAAACTATAGTACCGATTTCCCTTCTGAGCCGCGTCTACGTGCTGTTTTCGAGAGTCATTACGAACCGTCTCGCACCCAGACTCAACGACTTCCAGCCTCCCGAACAAATCGGTTTCCGAAAAGGCTTTAGTACCATAGACCACATACATATCCTGCGGCAGATTGTACAGAAGTCCGAAGAGTACTGCCTCCGAAGAATCTGCCACTTTGCCTGGCGTATGTGGACTATGAGAAAGCCTTTGATTCCGTCAAAATTTGGGCGGACAAAACACATCATTACACAACGCATGTAATGATGTGTAATATCCATGTCACACCTATGCCGGGGGTTGTTAGGAGCACTAAGCTCGAAGTGGTTGACGAGTATGTTTACCTGGGACAAGTAGTCCGACTAGGTAAGTCCAACTTCGACTGAGAGGTCAATCGACGGATTTAACTCGGCTGTGCAGCGTTCGGGAGATTGCGACACATCTTTTCATCAGGCATACTTCAAAATCTCAAGACTAGATTGTACAACCAGTGCGTGTTGCCAGAGATGACCTATGGATCTGAGACGTGGTCCTTCACTGTCGGCCGTATGAGAAAGCTCAAAGTCGCTCAGCGAGCTATAGAGAGGGCTATGCTTAGAGTTTCTCTGCGTGGTACACTTAGGAATGAGGTTATCCGCAGTAGAACCAGAGTAAGCGACATAGGCCAGCGGATTAGTAAACTGAAGTGGCAATAGGCCGGCCACATAGCTCGAAGTACCGATAACTTATGAGGAATAAAGGTAGCCTCGTACCGGCAGGCGAAGTGTAGGGCGTTCGCTCACTAGATGGATTGACGACCTGGTAAGGATGCAGGAAGTCGATGGATACAAGTGGCTCAGGTGGCTCAGCCCTTTGTGGCATTCCTTGAGGGAAGCCTGTGTTCAGCAGTGAACTAGTGAAAGGCTGTAAAGATGATAATGAAGATGAAATTAATTAGTAATGAAGATGATAAAATTATTAATGAAGAAAAACACAAAATTGCAAAAATTGTATATTTGTCAGTTTAGAATTTTTATACTTTTGATTTCTTAGTTCTTTCCCAGAATTTTTAAACTTTTGATTTCATAGCTCTTTTCATAAATGTACATTGACACTGTAACATTAGCACCATTATACCGTTAGTTCAAAATCAAAGTCTATCAAAAGTCCGCTGTTGAATATAGTTCTTCCTATCCAGAAGATTTTGTCATAGTTTCCACATTTATTATATCGGTATTTTCAGTTATTATTGGGAACACTGATTATTTACCTCTGTCGCCTTTTACGACACCCACGGGATGATACCGTAGCGTAATGGATATTTTTACACCATAATTTGAAGTTGCTAGTGAGGAGTATTTGTGTAGTATAACAGAAGCAGAAACAAAACTTTTTTAATATAGATTATAAAAAATACTTATTGAAAGTCAATGTTTTGTTTAATTTACCACCAGTTTTGAATAAAAAGCCTTCGTCCTGGGAAAATCCGTAAGAAACCCAACGGGACTTTCATATATGTTACACAACAACACAAAACAATTAAGAAATATAAACCTCACTCCCAGGGGTTATTCATCTGTAAATTCCTTAATACACTATGTTTGTTTAATAAAGTGTTTGAACTTTGAGGTGGTGAAATTTAGTGTATTTATATATATTTTTTTATATATAAGGGTGACAAACGAGCACACAGTCCACCTGATGGTAAGTGGATGCTGTGGCCCATAGACAAGTACATTTATCCTCAATTAAGAATCAAAATGCAAATGCTTAGTCACCCCTGGGGACTAAGATGGAATGCCTCGATTCCAGTGAAAAGGGTCTCCGGTTCTCTACACTCAATATACGAAACACAGCATCATTAAGCTGCTATTTTACGCTGGTATTCTGTGAGAGTGTGGTCTCCTGCCCCAGTCGAGCCGACCTATTATTTGTGCTACAACTATAATATAGCTGCAGAATTGCTCTACCACGTAAAATATCGGAGTCGCGTTCGGCAGATGGTACCCCGCATCGCGGCCGGTGTCTGTGTCGCGACGCGCGGAGAGCGGCGTGCGCTTCTCGCAGGTGCGTGCGCGTGTGCGCGGGCGCGTGCGCACGGTGGCGGGCGCGCGCGCGCCGCTGGTGCGCCTGCGCGCGCTCGCGCCCGACGGCACGTACGCGCCGCGCGCCGCCGCCGAACTCACCGTCACACCAAACCACGGTAAGTGCTGGCCTTGAATAGGTGCTACTTGCGAACACCAAACACTTCCATCTATAGGTGCTACTAGACGGGAACTCACCGTCACACCAAACCACGGTAAGTGCTAGCCATGAACAGCTGCAACTTGCGGACACCAATCACTTCCATCTATACAACTTGACAAGACCTCACCGTCTACCAAACCACGATACGTTCTAGCTGTGAACCATTGAAATAATATGTACTACATGCTAGAATAGACACTACGAACAAATTCTTTGCGGCTGTGTGTCCGGTCGGACGCACAGGTTACCTTTTTATGGCACAGACTGAGTAAGTTTGAGCCTATGAGCTCTATCGTGTGTTGCAATCAAGTCTCAGCGTCTCTAATATATAGACCAGACTTACATGTATATACTATTAGAAGATACTACGGTACTAATAAATTACGCACTAAGGTATGCTTAATTTTCCGTATTTTATTTAATCGACTGCGAGTAGACAAAAATACTTTTATTCTTTGTTTTGTAAACCACAAACATTTTCTTGTACCGGACGGCATTTACGCACCCCATGCGGCTGCCGAACTCACCGGCACACCAAACCACGGTAACTGGTAACCGTGAACAGGTTCCATCTGTTTATTGCAGCCTATTAAGAGGATTGTGGAGCTGTAAATTTTGATACAAAAAACAATAACGTTTTCCCCCAAGTTTTAAACTGTGAGCATCTAAATATCTATATTTTTGATTTAAAAACTTCCTCGAGAGTTTTTTTAAAATTAAACTTAACTAATTTACTAAAGAAATTGGTCCAACCGTTTCAGAAATTAGCCGGAACAAACAAACAGACGGACAGACAGGCAGGCAAATTGTGTTTTTATTATTATTACAGTATATACTTTCATATGCAATCAGTTAAAAACTGTTATTTAAAAACGGACATTTCAATTTTATTTATTTGTATAGATATAGATTTTCTTATATATTATAAAAATGTCAGTACATTGACAATTTATCTAAAATATTCAATTGAAAAATAAAAAAGATGTGTGCTACAATGATTTTTCCAAAAAATCTTTCGAGTTTTTAATTTTTTACAATAGGTTTACCGATAGAAGGCGGTTTAACCATCTCGTTTACGCCAGACGTAAATTACCACCCAAACTATCGGTGGGTAAAACATGTGCTGCATGTAACATGGTACTTTATTTTCTACGAAAACTGACCGGTTTGATCTCACGGCATCGACGGGGTAATATAAGAATCAATAAATAATAAGTCACCTGCCGACTGTGACAACTACGGCAAATATTAAGAATCTCTCTCTCTCTCTTCCTGGCTATGTGTCCCACATGGTGGTGGGGTCAGCCTTTCTTGTCTTACGCCTCCACTTCGCTCTATCCTCGACTTCATTTTCGGAGCCCCGTTAATGTTCCTACATTTAAGGTAGCGAAGCGGACTTTTAGGTTACGATTTGGGACTAACGTCGTTAGCCGAGCCCGTCCTTGACTCGGTAGCCCTAGCATACTATTCGCAGATTTAGGGCGATGTGTCTGCGCGTCGTTTCGCGCCGGCGACGCCCTATCCGTGAGACTCAATGCATTACGTAACCTTTCCATGTTTCTTTTTTAAAGATTTGGCTTTTGGGGTTTATTAGTCTATTGCCGATTGCCATCTGACGCAAAAAACACCTACCCGCTCAAGGTAGGGAAACCCGTTATGGAGGTGTTGTATCCAGTATACAAGGTATTTCTGCCTGTATGAAGCGTTGTCTGGTTATCCCGCCAGACGTCGGTCGCCAGAGCCCCGTCCGTAGGTCAGCAGAGTGTACCACGTGCAGGTGGGGTTGGCGTTTGGGCTGGTAAAGGTGTTGTTTCCAGCCCCTTACACTCCACGGCAAATATTAAGAATATTAAAGTCTAATATATGGGGAGGCCTATGGTCACAAGTGATTATTTTATGAGATGTAGTAATGATGATGATGTTGATGTTAACACTTGTAGAGGGTGAGTACGAGTTCACGGACGTGGTGCCGGGCAGTGTGGAGGTGTCGGTGGAGGAGTCACGGTTGTGCTGGCTCGACACGCGCCACAACGTAGCCGTCGCATCCGAGCTGGCACTCGTGCCCACCTTCGAGCAGTCCGGATACGTGCTGCTTGTCAAGTCTGATCATGACATTGAGGTATGTGATACTGTTGTACGAATTAGTTAATTTTGATGAAAAAGCAGCAGTTTATCTACTGCTGTATTCTGGTTCGAAGGGTCATAGACTCGGTTAATTAATAATGTCCTCCAGACCGAATTTCGGCCACGGCGGCCTGCCTCAACGGAGGCTAGCCATCAGCGCAGGACAGGATTATAGTGCCCAAGTGTATGCGCAAGCACAGGTGCACTCTCTATTTCCTCATTCTCGTAAACTCTCGTAAAGTAAACCGACACGACCGGGAGAGAGATCAGGCGTAGGACCAACGGCTTTACGTGCTTTCCGAGGCACGGGGGTGAGACACCGCCAACTTCCTGACTCCGGGCAGCTACTGAGAATTTTTTGACAGAAAAACTCAATAATTGTTTTTTTTTGGCACGATCCGGGATTCGAACCCAGGACCTCATAATCAGCAGTCGCACTACTACAACCACTAGACCAACGAGGCGGTCATAGACTCAGTATAATTACAGGTAATACAAATACGCATATCTGCACTTTGATTCTTAATCGAAGATAAATGTAAATCTATATGGGACACAGCATCCACTTACCATCAGGTGGTCTCTGTGATCGTTTGTCACCCTTATTCTATAAAAAAGGAATGCGTTTTTCTAAGACTTTATTTCGAATTAACTGCAACTGTCACTGGGCTACAGTGACGTTTGTTTGACATATCAGTATTGTACAATTTGCATACAATTAAATGTTAGCAGGATTCTGAACTATGTACGGCAAGTTATATTTATGCAGATAAGAAACGAGAGTCGACCTAGAATGGACCCCTGCGGTAATTTAATTTATCTGTTATAAAAATCACAGAATTTCATTTTTTTTGCTATTTATTTGAACTTTCTAAATCCTTTTGCCAAGATAATATCCAAAAAATGGAGAGCCTGCTTATTTAGGTTTAAATACTTTAAGTTATAAAACAATGATATGCGACTTACCACGCAATCAAATGCTCAGCATAAAGTTTGATTTTTGCCCTCACATATCTAAATCAAGTAATTTATTTCCCCTTGGATGAGCTCTGTGGAATTTTCTCTGATAAATTTGTCTTCGTCAATAATTATCATCATCATAATTACAGCCCTTCATGAATTCCACTGCTAAACATAGGCCTCCTCCAAGGAATGCTACAAAGCATGATCCTGAGCCAACTGCATCCATCGGTTGCGTGTCTTACCAGGTTGTCACCATCCATCTCGTGGGGAGTCGCCCTGCACATCGTCTATCGGTTTTCACCAACATATTTATTTAATGTGACCTTAAATATGTTAACTTTCGTACATTTTGTTACGTAATTTGTAACATTAACAACGCTCTTTGTAAACTCATTTTTAATTTTGTCCACAGGTTGAATATAAATCGAAGAGTTCTCAGGGCGTGCTCAAAGTGCCAGCCGGTGAAAGTCAGCAATGTGTACCAAAGTCTGAAGTGTACACTTTGATTCCGCGTGGCTGCCACCGTTTTCAACCAGCAGAGGCAAAAGTCGATATATCTTCTGATACATTGCCGGTGTGTATAGCCTTTATGTTAAATATACAGGTAGCAATCTAAATATAATTCTGTACCGGCGCTATCGTCGCGCCACAAGCGAAACACATCGAAGCCTAAATCGCGCTATCAAAATTCCGAATCATAAACAGTATATATAGAACATCTCCGAACTATCACACGGAGTGTTGGCCGCTCCCCGGGCAGAACACCTTGCCCGGCGGCAGATCTGGTAGAGCCATGCTGCAGTTATATTAGTAGTATAGTTGTAGCACGAATGGGTCGGCTCGACCGGGGAAGAACCACGCTCTCACAGAATACCAGCGTGAAATAGTAGCTTAATGCTGCTGTATTTCGTATGGTGAGCGTAGAGAACCGGTGACCCTTTTTACTGGAAACGAGGCATTCCATCTTAGTCCTCACGGGTGACAACGCATCTGCGTTTTGATTTGTAATCGAGGATAGATGTAGATGTCCATGGGCCACAGCAACCACTTACCATCAGGTGGACTGTGTGCTCGTTTGTCACCCTATCCCATTAAAAAAAAATCTCCCCTTTTCCTTCAAGGGCCACAGTGGTGATGGCGACGTGATCTGAACACGTAACCAACAACCTTCGGAAACGTCAAACTTCATCATCGTCATAAAAATACCCCACGCCCGGCGGGAGATCTCCCCTTTTCCTTCTACGGCCACAATTCTATATTATGTAATCGAAAAATAATAAATATATAAATGTAAAAGGGTTTAGACATACTATATTTTTATTTTGATGTGCCGTATAGCGGCGGTATACACCGTGGTTGTCGTAATAGGCGGCACAGTGATATTGAAACAGTAGATGGGCAGCAGCGTCTTACTGATGATAAACTCAACTCAGTAGGAAACTGCGCTGCCAACCCGTTACTAAGTTCCTTTGAGGCAATATAATGAGGAAGGCATATGTTCAGTAGTGGGCTTTTGATGGGCTGTCATTATAGTAATGGTCATGGAAGTTAGAGAACAGGAGAATGATCGCTGTAGAAAATAGTGTCCCAGAAATATGGACAAAATAAGTGAGGCGCTGCGATCGCTAAGTTGTCTCAATAAAAGTGGGCTGTTGTAGGCTAGTTTGAAATTATTATAAATCATTCGAAGAAAAAAAAAAGAAAATAACTTAATATTATTTATTAATAAATAAATTATAAATTATATTTTTTATAATTTTAATTACTAGAAATATAATAAATTATTACAAATATAAATAATTAGTAATTATTGATTTATTATTATTATTTTTATATTATTTCACCATTTTTAATATTTATTTTTGTCAATAATTTAAAAAATTACTTCGCAGAAACTACTTACCGACGGCAGCATGGCTATAAATTCTACAAATTTTCAGGGACAGGCGGGCTATGCTTTAGCATGTAGTGATCCTTCTCCTGTTCTCTAACCTCCATGGTAATGGTGATGATATTTTTGTATGTCAAACTTTTTCGGTATAACCAATAGCTCAAATAGTATGAACAAATAGATTAGTCAAAACTAGATTCAAAATATTTTATGATTAGAATTTTAAAAAAGGGATACATATTCGTTGAATTATAACCAATTTATCTCCGAACAGATTGAATATAAATTTAATAAATGATATATTGAAATTGAATAAATGATATATTGCAATTGAATAAATGATATATTTGGCGCTCTTAGTTTAAGGACGACAAACCATTCGGATATATGAAGCAAATAAAGTGAACGTGGTAAAGGAGTACACGGTACTTGGTCATGTCTGTTTGACTGTCTACAAACTTTCCTGATCCAGTCCAATAGGTCTCACTCAATATCAGTTTACTAACACACTCGCCTCTCATATTACAGTCGGTGAAGTTCAAGGCGGTGGCACATGCCGCAGTAATTCGAGTGATTTCCCCCGACCCTGTATCGGATCTGACGCTTCACATTAGTACGGATGCTGCGGGCAGTAAGGAGGTTGGACCGCTGACTCCTGTGCCAGATCCCAATGAGGGATTTGTGTTCGAACATACATTGTACTTGGCTGATGTAAGTAATATATTATTATTAATAAATAAATACAAATTAATATATTTTAAATTCCATCAATTACATAGAGAATTATTAGTGGAAACAATATAACAACTTGAACTTGAGTTAACAACGACCTGAAATAATATCGTTCCATCTGTTAACGGTTAAACTGTCGTCAAATTCTCACAAGAATTTCGTAATCTGACGCATCAGCATATTGCGAAGTGTATTGTGAATAAAACGCTAATCTGGCTAGACTGTAACAAAGGGCGGCGCTACTTTGGTATGAGGCGAAATATTTGACGGATTTCATAACGTAACGTAAACATTTTTAATAGTTAAAGAACATACCACTGAGAACGAAATATTTTTCTTGACTTACACGTTCTAGAAACCGAGAAACTCAGAACCAAGGAATAATAAACGCAACTTTTCAATGTTTTACATTATGTGACCATTATTATATGAAATAAAATCACCTCGGTCACAACTAGTGACAAGATGAGCTTAAGATGAATAGCCATTATTAGTCGGGTAGAGTTTTGGTGGGTACTTATTGATCAGACTAAGCTGTATGATCTAAGACCATTGTCTTTATTTGGCGTATCGTAATTCCAACTCATCGATGGTGCAGGGCGAGGTAGCGCAGGTGTGGGCGCGGTCGTCGTCGCTACTGGTGGGGCGCGGGCCGCAGGCTGTACGTGCGCGCTCACAGTGCGGGCCCACAGCGCTAGTATTGCGGGCCGCGCGTGCGTTAACCCTGGCCGGCCGCCTGCGGCCGCCCGTCGCCGATGTTCGAATCACACTGCGAGCCGGTATCTACCACTTTGTTTTAGCAGTGAACTTGTAAAGGGCAGTAATGATAATGATGATGAAATATTATTTATTTTTAAATTTAATTTATTCATTAAAATTTAAATGCGTTATAAATTTATTCAATAGTTAATTAATAGTACTCGGATGACCGAGCTTTGCTCGGTTTTTTTGAAATTACATTTAGATACAAATTACATACTGATGAAACATAAATAATATTTTTTGATCTTATTGACATAATAGAAAAAACTGAACTGGTTATTTGAATAAAAAATCATGAGTGGAATTAGATTAATTAAAATTTTCGTATTTTTTTCTCACAAAAGAAGAGAACTTGGAAAAAAAAATCGGACTGAAGACAGGACGCGAACCAAGGCATTTAGATTTCGCGACCGCTCTATATCCACTTGAGCTATTACGATGATTAACACAGTGTCAAAATTTACCTTCTTATATTGTAGCAGTTTTTCATTGCCTGAAAACGGACAAAAGGACATTTTCTAAAAATAGATCCTAGCTAGATCGATTTATTGCCCCCGAAACTCCCTCGGAAATGCCTCGCGCGACCGAACGCCCCCTCTAACCTCCCCGTTCTCCTTCCCAAGTAGTCCCCGAAACTCTTTGGACACTAAATTTTATGATAATCGTTGGAGCCGATTCCGAGATTCCGATTATATATTATATTATATACAAGAATTGCTCGTTTAAAGGTATAGGATAGGATAGGATATTTCACACGAAACTAATACTGTTGCAGAGGGTATGGAACAAACGCAAGTGACTAAAGACGACGGTGAATACAAATTCGGGCCACTAGACGCGAGCAAGGAGTACTCCATCACTGCTGAGAAGGATTCCTATGTGTTCGGAGAGAGGGACGCGGACGGGAACATCCCAGCGCACAAGCTCGCCGAAATAACTGTGGAGCTAGTGGATATAGCTGACGGCACGCCGCTAGAGGTATGTTATTGTTGATTATTGAACTATTTACGTGGTAGAGCCATACTGCATCAATATTATGGTTGTAGCACGAATGTGTCGACTTGACCGGGGTAGGACCACGCTCTCACAGAATACCAGCGTGAAATGGACACTCAATGTCGTTTTATTTCATATGGTGAGTAGAGAATCGAAGACCTTTATTACTGGAAATGAGGCATTTTCGTCTTGATCCTCAAGTGTGACAATGCGTCTGCATTTTGATTCTTAATCAAAGATAGATGTAGACCATCAGTTGGACTGTGTGCTCCTTTTTAACCCTTATTCTATATAAAAAATGATGATGGTGTGTGATCGCGTGATGTCCGCAGGGTGGCGTGGTGTCCGTGAGCGGCGGTCAGTACCGACGCACGGCCGCGGGCGCGGCGGGTGGCGAGGCCGCGCTGCGATTCGGCTCGCTGCCGCCGGCGCAGTACTACGTGAAGCCGCACGCGCAGGAGTACCGCTTCCAGCCGCCGCACTCCATCGTGCACGTGGAACAAGGCACCGCGCACACGCTACGCTTCAGGTACCTAGTACGGAACCAAACACTTCTATCTATTCTACTACACGTGCAATTCAGAACAAGAACTGTGCTACATACTTATTTGAAATAAACATCAAATAACGTTCAATTACGTGAATAATGCTAGCTTTTCCGAGTCACATTAAACAAAATTGATGTTAGTTTGTCGAAAACAATGTTCGCGGTTTTACAGAACAAAGAATTAGTTTTTTCGTCCGCTCGCAATTGACTTCAGGATGGATGGAGGAGGATCCACGCCCGCGCGATCCGCAGGTAGGTCACACCTTTTGTTGTAAATTGTCAGATCCAGTAGTATACATAGAACTCTTTGTACGTAATATGTTTCATAGAGGGGTAGGAGGAGAGGGAAGAAGAGATAGGTTTACGTACTAAATCATCAATAATAAATCAGTCATGGAAAATACCGTGCACGAGTGATCGCGATATACTCTTGCACTATTATCTTGCCCCGCGTCGTAGTCTTAACGGAGACTAATCATTAAGATTTGTTTCCATTAAGACTGGTCGCTGTGACCGCAATTCGATTTGGAGCAAGTCTTACTAGATGTGCTCTAACATTGCGTGCAAAGTTACACACAAATCTTTGTATTATCGTTGTATATTATGGCTGTAACACGAATAGGTATTATCGTTTAAATAATGGTTCGAAGTGGATTTTGATACGTAATGATGATGATGCCATTTTTTGTATTAAGTATCTGCGCATGTAAACTATTAGAGAAAACGACGAAACAAGTGCTTCGACGTTAATATAAATCTCAAGTTATTTTCATCGTTTGGGCGCCTTATGAACTTGGGTAATTGTCGTCAAGATCTCTCAAAAACATTACAATATTACAAATCTGCATAAAAATATATGTAATTATAAGAAAAAAAAGCAGTAAAAACGAAGATCCCGAATAGAATGATATGACTTAAAGGACAAGCATCCAAGCCAAAAATCTCAAAAAAAGTGTGTGTGTGTGTGTGTTGTGCAGCGGTGTGCGCGTGGCGTGGTCGGTGCGCGGGCGTGCGGTGTGGCTGGGCGGCGCGCCGGCGCCCGGCGTGGGGCTGCGTGCCGTGCCCCGCGCCGCTTCCAGCACGCAGGAGTCCCAGCAGTGCGCCGCACAAGACGCCACCGCTGCTCCCGACGGCAGCTTCAGGTAATAACACTGTTATAAATATTTCCATCCTCACCATCTGGATGCTTTGCGGTCTACCACTGTGCATTTTACCAGGAGTTTTCTTCCTCGTACAACTTCTCTGTGGAATTGTTTACCACCGACAATTTTTCCGTACCGATACGGCTTAAGGACCTTCAAGAAAAGAGCTTACTCCTTTCTAAAAGGCACGCAACACTCCTGCAATTCCCCTGGTGTTGCGGTTGTTCATGGGCGGCAGTAGTCACTTACCATCAGGTGAGTCGCATGCTCATTTGCCCTCCCTTCTATAAAAAATTTTTATTACACTATATAAGCTTACCCAAGACCGGCTACCGATCTAATCAGATCATACAATACCTACCTTACGTCGGCTCTGGTACGGGTCGAATTAGATCAGGTCGGATCAGAAGTACTGCCTTATGAAAAAACTATTTTTTCCTTTAAAACAAAACCAAAGACAATATGCAATAGATAATAGTATCAAAGACAAAGATATGCTCTTTTATTTTAAACCATAACCTCGCAATGTTTCTTAGAAAAAAAAAGAAATCACTCTGAACTTTCGGCGTTCCACGTGTCGTTCTGATGAAGGTGCTCCGTCTTTTTTTATGGAATTTTATATTTGTGTCTGGACTAAAAACGAAAGTTTTATACTTTTTTATATTCCTTGTAATATAGTGAACACGTAGATATATAATTTGTGGTATAAAAAAGTGAAAGGGGTGCTAAATTGCCAAAAGTACTTCAAAATCTGGAAGACCCATTTTGGCGGTTGGGTCATAAATGTGTTATTTTTCAAGTTCTCATTTATTTTTAGTGTAAAATGTAAGTAAAAATAGTTTTCTTACATATTTCAAATAACTTGACGTTGTATTTATTTCAAATTCACACATAATTATTTTTGAAATATTGTTCTAAATGTCACACAGATAAAATATTATTATTGTTTTTTTTTTAATTTTTTTAATATTTTAATATTTTGGTATGAGTAACGAATGGAAACATATAAAACATAAAAATATACATATTTCCAAACATTTTCATATAAATTTCTCCAAAAACAAAAGTGTAGAATTCAAATTAGTAGTAATTTTGTCACTAAAATTGAAGTATATGCTACTACTATGCTATACAGGGTAATTTATGTATTTTATTACAATTTCTAGCAACCAAAAATAATTTTATTCGATAGTTTATACATTCAACAAGAAATCCTGTAAGTTTTATCCATAAATATTGTCTCATAGTGAAAATATAGCAAAATTTGCAATATAGCAAAAAAATTTTCTAACTTACAAATTTTCCCGCCATTAAGGTCCCGAGCGAACGGGAGTATAACATGTCGCGCACTGTCAGAGCCATGGGGTAGCGGTCCTCCTCGATACGACCTGAATATTGCGCGGGTTCCTTTCCGTTTCCTCCCTCCACTTCACGTGGGTGCGTTCATACGTACGTGCGTGTGGTAGTACATGCGTGCATTCGTGCGTGCGTGGGTGTATACGTGTGTATCGTAGTGTAATCTTCTAGAGACCTATTTAACTTATATCAATCGCACGCGGAACGGCAAAGCGCGTACACGTGTTCGCTTTGAGCTTAAGCCCTTTTTACTGGAAAAGAGGTATTCCATCTTAGTCCTCACGGTTGACAACGCATCTGCATTTTGATTTGTAATCGAGGGTAGATGTAGATGTCTATGAGCTGCAGCAACCACTTACCATCAGCTGGATTGTGTGCTCGTTTGTCACCCTATCCTATATAAAAAAGCTCATTGTACGATAAGACAATGGCGTCTAAAGTGGTATAATGTACAAATTGAAATATTGTTACAAGCAAAGTTCTTGCCTGTATACAAAACAAAGCAGATGTGATGGACGAGAAGAGCCTTGTCCGAATTTGTAGCAGTGCTTTTACAGCTTAAGATATCACAAATGCAAAAAGTTTGCTATTCGAGTCATTGCCATCAGGTAAAAGAAAAATATAAGACGTAGAGATGGAAAATTAACTCGACGTACAGATGGAAAATCCCAAACGGAGTTAGAAGACATCACTAGTCTTTTCAAAGAAACAGACCCAAATAGTTCACTCTTTTTTGTTGCTCGTTACCTACAATAACTTCCGCCGATCACTTTTGATCATGTGGATATGACTCGCTTTCTGAACGACATAGTCTTGTTGTAACAGGAGATTAAGACCATCAAGGATAATTATGTAACCAAAATGCACCTGAAAGAGCTAAAGCAAGATAAATCTTTCTTAAAAACATCCACATCACCAGTTCATCATCATAAGGTAGGTAGAAGGTGCAGTGCCTTCTTTTTAGATGTGGGTACTCCGTTCGGTGACAGTGGGCCGATGGGCTTGTCGCACGAATTATCGACAGCAGCTTTCAACTCATACATAAACCAGATGATTGTGGAGCTCAGCAGCTCTAAGGTCGGTTGTTCTATAGATGGAGTTTGCATAAATAACATAAGCTATGCAGATGACATGGTGCTGCTGAGCCCCACGATACGTGTACTCAGAAGACTGCTAGGGATCTGTGGATCCTACGCAAAGACCCATGGGCTCAAGTACAGTATAACGAAGAGCGAGCTCATGGTTTTTAATTCAGGCACTAAAAAGCAGCTCACCATGACTACTGTTAAGCTCTGTGATAGTCCTTTGAACAGAGTCGTCAAATTTAAGTACCTAGGCCACTGGGTAACACAGGACTTAGATATAGAAAGGGAACGCAGGACGTTGGCTGTTCGCTGTAATATGCTGGCCCGCAGGTTTGCACGATGTACTAAAGACGTTAAAGTAACGCTTTTTAAAGCGTATTGTCAGTGCTTTTACACATGCAACTTGTGGGTTAGATACACGCAGCGGACATACAATGTCCTGCGTGTACAATACAATAATGCGTTCAGGGTGCCGTTAGGATTGCCGCGTTATTGTAGTGCCTCTGCCATGTTCGCTGAAACACACACGGATGGCTTTCATGCCATTATACGTAAAGGTCCGCTTCATTACTGAGTCGACTATGTACCTCTACCAACAGCATCCTGAATACATTTGCTGATACGAGTAGGTTGGATTCTGCCATAATGAAGCTCTGGTTGAGTCTACATATAAAATTAAATAAAAGTCAATAAATAAGATATTTGTAATGTGGGAGCGATATTTAATTTGTTAAGTTAAAAAATAAAAGTTAAATAGTTCAGTTTTAAGTATATATTATTGTTCTACTAACATCTTTATGGACAAAGTCTGAATAAATATTATTATTATTAACTGGTTAAAAGGCATTTCATTTTCATTATGTATTTATTAATTGGTAGTCAAAAGCAATCTGTAGGCCGCAACACCTGTCAAGTAAACTGTATACTTATTTCAGATGTGTACTTATATAAAATAATAATCTCCTCAATAAACCATATTCTTGTTCGGTTTTTAGACTTACACTATCGTGAATTTGCCATTTTGAATTAACTAAATACATTTGCTTTTAATTGTTTCTAAAATAATTGTAAGACATGAAAATTTTATATTAATGAAACAGCAAATATAAGAAGAAGAATAAGATTCAATTAATTTCACTCATGAACTTTATAACAGTATAAGCATCCATTAAAAATAATGCAATAGAAATTCAAGATCACCTAGCATAACAATGAATACAAAGAAAAATTACAAAATCTAAACAAACTGCACCATTGTTTATTTACCTTCCCCGTTACTGCCTAAAGTTACCCACTGCTGGGGACAGGCGTCATGCGTTGGCCGATTTCACACTTTTTCGATGTTTTCCTTCCCGTCGAGAACATCTTAATTGTTATCGTTACTGCCTATTAAATTCCATAACCATACCATAGGCCTCCCTGTAGATTGCCTCACAGGTGGGATATTTGCTGCCCATTTCCTGATTTGTTTCCCACTGATGATATTGTTACACCGCTACTACACATTATAAAAACACGGTATAAAAATGAAATAAAATATAATGTATGTTTTATTGCATTGATCATCCCACAGGAACAAAAGTTTTTCAGGTTCAAAATTAGATTATGTACCTATTAAACCAGGATATAATCTCTATTCCAGAAGTAAAGCACAGGCCCCCCTCTAATTTCTGAAAGGATTTTAGGGCAAGGAATTGTTCGCCGCGCTGACCTAATGCGTTGGCGGACTTTACACGGTTCAAATTTTTTGTTTTATTTCTTAGACATGCCGGTTTTTCACGATGATTTTCTTCACCACCGAACACGTGGTGAATCAGCACTGAAAATTACAAATAACAATTTCATTAATGCCAGCTGGTATCAAACGCAGATTATTCGTGCACTTTGAAATTTGTGAGCAAGCAACCTATGAATCACCACCATTACTATGGCATACCACGGCTCCATTTCGATCGAGTCTTTCAAAACAAACTTCATCATTCAAAATACAGCCATTCTCGTCTCGTATAACATTCAATCTAGGCTATTTTGAATTTGCCCTAGCAGTTCTTACGAGTTTCCAAAACATTTTAATACCTATTTGCCCGGAAGGTATCCGATATTCTTCTATCATTATTATCAGTTCTTTCTTGCTTTTACCTTTGAACTACTTCTTTTACTTTGTTATTTAGATGTCTAAAGGCTGCCTTTTTCCTTTCAATATCATCATTCGTACCGCCAGAATTACTAGCCTTGGTTGCTAGCAAATCGAGCCATGCTCTCTTTTTTGCTTCAACTTCCATACGTACCTCATCATCCCACCATAACGTATTATTATTCCTTTCATTCGTTCTCTTACTAACACCACATACTCCGGTAACTCAATACATCTCAGCATCCACTTACAATCAGATGAACGGTGTGCTCGTTTGTCACTGTAATTCTATGAAAAAAGTAAATTTGTTGTACTAACTCGTACATTATATTTTTAACCACAGAATTCGTGGCCTAATTCCGAACTGCTTCTACAAGATCGAACTGAAGGAATCTTCCGCGCCAGAGCTGAGCGGACTCAGGATTGCCAAGGCATCGCCTGTTATCGAAGTAAGTAGCTTTGCAATACTTTAAGGCCGAATACGACGCGATTGAGACCTTGCTCGTTTCGCAGCAAACCACGCGCTGTCTATCGAACATCACGTGTGTTACCCGTACGCTTTGTTTATATAGACATGTATAATATAATCAAAGCTGTACGGGCTTGACTGAGCTAGCTCAGTATGCAGAGTAATGAACAACACAGAGAGCATTGCTTTTCTTAAATAAATCTTTCTTATTTATAATATTAGTTCCTATAGATTATAAATTCTGTACTTTATTCGTTATAAAATATTGTTCGAAAAGTTATTGAATTTATATCGATTTTTTTTTCTTAATTGGTGCATCGTACGTAAAGAACCTCATGTAACTGAAAATGTTTGTTCTTGTGAGTCTTACAAAACGCCGTAATGCAAATTGCATAAATAATAAAGAAAAAAAAACTAAAAAGTCGGTGATTGCCCCATAGTGGGGATAGGTACTGTGTATGTCAATTCTCACAAGACTACTCCGACTGGTCAATCACTTCACATCCGAAGTATTTCGGTTTTTCTTAATTATGTACTTACCCCAAGCTTTCGGACAATACATTGACTATGACATTATTTGCGGTCTCTGTGCTTGCACTACTCTGTACATTCTTTTCCGACTAGGTCTTGATATTTACATTTTTAGTGTTTCTCACTTGAAACTAGAAAAGTATAAATGATCAGTTTGGCTAATGTAAATGAGTAAAAATGGAACCTATTAGGCAGCCTCAAACAAAAAATTACCTTACTAAATATAAGTATTAACCTCAAAATACAACATTCGAGCAGCGTTCATGCGATAAACTCTCTTTGTTTTACCACTTAGGTAACATTTTTTTTCCTACCCATATTTACATTTATAGACACTTAAACGCGTATAAAACAATAAATTAACGATTTTCGCTACAGACACAACGACTGTTGTTACCTTACGTCACACGTCGAAGCGCCTGGTAATTTATTACGGCAAACTTTTATCTGGCAATATACGATAATATTATTAGGTGTTTTTAATTAAAACGAATTATGTTAATAAATAATATTTTGTATCGAAAATAAAGATAGAAGGAACCTTCGGAATCACAATACAAACATTTTTACGTTAAAGAATTTTTCCTAAATTAAAATTCACAGAGTTTTGGAAGAACAATAATTTTATATATCATTTCTTAACATTCTTTTATTTGTTGTATATTCATTTATTTTAAAATTTTAAAATGACGGGCTGACATTAAGTGAAGGACCAGAACAAACCTAAAAAAATGTTTTAAAGCTTAGAATTACTTCAGGTCAAAGTTCTAGTCAAGAGAAATACATTAATTTTCGCCAGTTCTCTTCGTATTCGGCCTTAAACGCGTATAAAACACTAAATTAACGATTTTCGCTACAGACATAATGACTGTGGTCACCTTACGTCACACGTCGAAGCGCCTGGTAGTTTATTACGGCAAACTTTTATCTGGCAATATACGATATTATTATTAGGTGTTTTTAATTAAAACGAATTATGTTAATAAATAATATTTTGTATCGAAAATAAAGACGGCAGGCACCTTCGGAATCACAATACAAACATTTTTACGTAAAAGAATTTTTCCTAAATTTAAATTCACAGAGTTTTGGAAGAACAATCATTTTTAAATATCATTTCTTAACATTTTTTTTATTTGTTGGTTTATTCATTTATTTTAAAATTTTAAAACTGTGGGCACCTTGTGAAGGAACCGAAAAAACCTACAAAAAATGTTTAACGCTTAGAATTACTTCAGGTCAAAGTTGTAGTGAAGAGAAATACATTAACACTCCATTAGTCGCGCGTTCTACTATTGTAGAACAGGCATGCATTTCGTGGGTTTTTAACATTAATTGTGGGTGTCTAACGCACACACTCATAGTATTCCTCTATTACTAGCTGGTGATCACAATTAGTACCCTTTCGGCAAACTGCGCGATCGCACTTGTTAGAAATTTCGCACCAAAACTAAAATTCTACAATAGTAGAGCGCGCGAGCACTCGCGTGTCATTTTTGTCGGAAGTTTACCTATCGTTTTTATTTTATTTAAGTGATTATATTATGTATAAATATTGTTATTATGAATTTTTTTGTTTGATAATATTATTTTTAACCGAAGTAACTATATTTCGCACAATGATGGCACATATTTTGAGATGGTTGGAAGAAGTTATTACTGATGAAGCAACCAGCAAAGTATGGGATACATATATTTTTACTAACGGATACAAAGGTACCTTATGCCTACCATATGGAAATATACGCAGGTGCTCAGCCAGATGGTCCTTAAGCACAATCAAATAAAGTTGTGGACATGTGCAACGAATGCTTACCCCATTGGATGGTTTTAGGTTATAACGTCACAATGCTCAATTGATTCACGAATATACCTCAATGCTTAGAACTCTTAGGTAGCAAAATTACTGTCGTAGGCACTGTGAAGAAAAATAAGCCACAAATTCCCAAAGAATTCAAAATCACAAGAAACAGAAGCGAAACGAGTTCAATTTTTGGCTTTCAAAAACAAGGTACTTTAGTATCTTACATGCCAAAATCAAAGAAAGTGGTGCTCATTTACTCACCTATGCACTATGATGATCATATCGATTTACAAACAGCAGAGAAACGTAAGCCGGAAATAATAACTTTTTACAACAATACTAAATATGGCGTGGACATTATTTGTAGTATTTATGACGTCTCACTTACCATTTTTTTTTTCAATTTAATGAATATAAGTGCTATAAACGGTTATATTGTACATACAATAAACAAGGACTACAGAAATAAGGCCAGGAAGGATTTTTTATATGAACTTGGTTTTCACCTAGTCGCGCCATGCATACAATGAAAATGAAAGGGAAAATGCTTTTAGGCATGAAAGAGCCATCGGAATTACAACCATGCCCAGCACAACTCCCCAATACTGGTCGAGTCGGGAAATGTTCCTTTTGTGGCAGAGCGCGCAATAAGTCCACTACAATGTGACACCTGTAAAAAGTAGATTCATCCTCAATATCAAGTTCTTCAATGCTTTGACTCTTGTAAAAATGATAAAGACCGTGTGGAAGATATGAGCGAGTAAAAAAAGGAGACTGAGAAGGTTTGATGCCAAAAAAATCATTGATTTTTCTCAAAATTCACAAGAAGTCTGATATTAAGTGCCTAATAAATGGTAACAGTTATGTTTCGTCTATTTTAGTTTCTTATTAAAGTTTGTTTTCATATGATATTGAAGTATTTTTATATTTGTTTATTGTTCCTGTAAAATCTTTACACAAAATAGTTCTACATATGTAGAGCGCGCGAGCACTCGCGTCCCAAACAGGGGCGCGCGTAATGGAGTGTTAAATTTCGCCAGTTCTCTTCGTATTCGGCCTTAATACTCATGTGAGAAATGTGTCATAAACACTAGGTAATAGGACTCTTCTTCTCTTTAGAAGCACAGAGTAAATATTAATACAAAAACAGAAGGATCGCTCTCTGATAGTAAACTTGCTTACTTTAGTTTAAACCTAGTTACAACGTCGTTAATGTTCATAATACTTTGCACGATTCGGAAGCGACCTTAGTGAATTTAGCCCGCCGATTGATCTGTCGAAAAAATAATTATTATTCTAGAACTTATATCGCGCGTATTAAATCAAAATGCACCTTACGTTGCGTGGGAGTGTCTGTATCACTTATCCCTTTGTTTAGGCCGCTTTTTCAGCTGGTTTTTACATCAAGTGTAATATTCTTCTACAAGATGCAGGATACCTGGTGATTCTGGCCCTGCTAAACGTAAACTCACGGATTCCTTACCATTACCCAACTTCCCAAAGAAAAAAATAGGGCACGAAGATCACCCTTCTGCCTCCTACCAAAATACATACGTCCACCCTGACTTCCAAGATAAAAAGTATGTAGATAGCGATAAAGGCCCATTTGTAACACATTTAAGCCGCTCAGAACCTGATCCATCAGCAGGTTATGCAATTAGACCTGTGAAAATTGGTCATATCCTTACCCAAAATAAAGTGGCCAATATTGAAAAACAGGTTATCAAAATTTTAGGGCGCAACAGGGTTTCAATTGCTTTTAAAACTGCTAATGATGCTAATAATTTTATTGACTCTGAGTTTCTCTCGCATTATAAACTTTCTGCTGTTATTCCAACTTTTAATGTCACCCGTATGGGTGTGATCAGGGGTATCCCGACTGACATTATGGAGGAGTTAGTGAGCGAGTCTGAGCTCCCTCCTGGCAGAGGAGAAATCATTAAAGCCAGAAGACTTAACAGAAAGGTCAAAAAGGGTGATGAAGTGGAGTGGGTTCCAACTCAAACTGTTGTCCTCACCTTCTCAGGACAAGTGCTCCCCTCCCATTTATATTGCTTTTATGCTTCCATACCAGTCGAAACTTACCTTCTTCCTACTATCCAATGTCTAAAATGTTGCCGTTTCGGACATGTCAAAGCCCAATGTCGATCGAAACCACGATGCTTAAATGCAGCAAAGAGCACACCGGAGATAATTGTCCCACAGATTCCCCAACCTGTCTTTTCTGTTCGGCAAATCATATGGCTATTGAAAGAAGTTGCCCAGTGCACTCAAGGCAAAAAGCTATCAAAATAGTAATGTCACAAGAGAATTTATCATACCTTGAGGCTTTCGCCCGCTTCCCGGCTGTCAGAAGACCTTATTCTGATGTTGCATCTTCACAAATTCCTGTAAGCCATCTCCCATCTCCTCAGGCATCGGTAAACCCTCCTACTCTGTCTCCTTCTCATTCCTATAGGAAAACTATTTATAAAGCCAAATCTGTGCCAGTGCCATCTACACAAGGATATGATAAAGTTTCACACTATAACATTACAAGTACTCCTTCGTCCTCTCTTCCCAATGGGCATGCTTTACAAAGCAATATAATATCCCCTAATGATAACCTTCTAGAAAATCTTGTGGCCTCTCTTACAGATATTGTT